GAAAATTGTTTTATGTTTATCGTTGTCTGATTGGTGACTTGTTCGTCCGCGAGTCACTTCGTCGTCGGGGCCAGTAGAATACCAGCGCAAGGCCCTGTCTTGCACATGCTGAACTGGTCCCATTTCACCGCAGACTTGGGACCTGTGCTTGGGACATTAGTAGATATATTTTGTAAACTCATTACTTATTAAACTTATGTGTAAAATCTATATGTGTCACCTGTTTTTTAGCGTGTGAAATAAAGTCTTTCTTTCTTTCTTTCTTTCATATTTTGATCTCATTTTCATTCATAAATTTACGTAAACAAATAATTAATTTGTGGGGAAAGTGAGTTAAAAGGAGGTGGAAACTGATAGAAAAAAAGCGGGATTTGGATACTGGGGAGTTTTTTATAGAGATCAAAGGATTGGGAATTTAAGGGACACGAAAAAAAGATGTATTTTAAAGTTCCCTCATTAAGGCCGCATTCGCACAGTGAGCTGTTGCGGACACCGATCTTGCTGAAGAAGCCGGACTACTACAATGGCCGAGTCTGAGCCTGCACAAGAATGAAACCGTATGACGGTCCTATATAGTGTCAAAAAATGAATCAATAAAATATTGACATTGACAGTTGAGTGAGAGTTGACTGGAGTTGACAGTGACATTTCGTAGTAACGTTGGGTGATGTGTACGTAAATAAATTGCAAATTCGCAATTCTACTTTACTTCTAATTGGCAATATCTAAAATAATAATAAAAATGGTATAGATACTACTGGTTAGATTTTGCCTTGCGTCTAAAATGGCGACTGCTTCGGTGAGGGAATTTGGTAAAGCCTGGTGGTCGGAGATACATAACAGAATAATTGGTGCTGTGGTGTTTATTGATGATGCCACTGCAGAGTGCTTGCATTACGAGGGTGGCGTAGACACCTTACTGTCTGCGGGAGCAGTTGCTGTAAAGGGATTATCTCCATTCGAGGTACGCCGCCTTAGTTTACAGTTTGATTTATTTAGTCCTTTAGATTTACGAAAACATGTCTTACATTACACACAAAGTTTGATTTAATTCACACGTATGGCATGGTGGCCAAACACCATCCTATTAAATATTAAAAAAAAACATATCAAGGATTGTTATATTAAGGCACATAACACACAACTATACAAGCTATATCAACATCAACAATTCCACATCTCTTGTTACAGTGTGCCAAGAAAGACCAGAAGAAGGCATTGTTTTTAACACAAACTACCAAAGTACAGTTGCAAACAATTGCTGAGATTGTCCGTCACAGTGACTTTACACACTGCATTCTGATATCAAGCATGAGTTTGGATATGGTGTTTCTGGAAATCCATGATGACAAGGATATCAATACTGTATTGGCTATGGGAGAGCCAATCTTAGAAGGCATGAAGTATCTTGAAATGAAACTTATTCAGTGGATGGCAAAGAAGGTAACTAAAATAAAACATGGCTCATATACAAATTATACTTACACTCAATTACAGATTTACAATTTGATAACATGACATACTTAATAAGGTAGTTAGCTACAGATCAAAACTTGAGTGATACAAAGAAGTGAGTTAGGATTACTAAAGTCATGCTGCTATCCCAAGTTAGCAAGAATTAAGCAACACCTACTAATACTATAGTGCTTACATATTGCAGAAGTAAATACATTAATTCTGAAAATATTATTACTGGCCTAAATTTCTTTTAGAGATTATAGGTAGTAAAATAAAGTTCTTCGTACATAGGTGGAACTCAAAAACATAAATGTTGGATAGTGAATGTTACAAATGAAATACAGGGCCGTATATAATATAGATCAATACACACCCCCAGGGAAACAAAAATATATACCAATATTTTTGTTTCCCCTTTGGGAATATTTATTTTTTCTGGGATAAAAAGTATCTTTCTATTTAATCTGGACTTCTAACTTTACGTCTGCAAAATCTCAAAGCAATTGGTTTAGTAGTTATGGCGTGAAACCAGAACAAACAAACAAGCTCACTTTCCGATTTATAATTATATTTATAATTTAGTCCTAGCTTTGTATATTAAATCCCATATTCCCTTTGAGTATTAAATAAAAGGTATGACATTTTCACATTGTTATGTTAATGTTAAATTACCATTCTAATAAGACATTTTCTCTTACAGCAAAGTTATGTAGAAGTGATACACATACCAATTTTCACCATCTCCCTAACTAATGTGGTGTTTGTCACACCCCCCTTCCGTGACTTACAAACATTTTTCCTTGGCGAGTTGAAATCAGATAATGCAACAGTTGATATCAACAATTTGTCCAAACAAGAAAGAAATGAAGCAAGAAGGTTTGCTGCCAGCCTGAATAACATGTTGGATTCAATGAATTTAAAAGAGGATGTTTATTACATTGGTGCATATTCTGCTATCATTGGAGGGATTCTGGAGCATTACCCTCTATCTATACAACGGCGGAAGGTTTGTTAAGTATATATATATATATTTTTTTTTGCTTAAGATGGGCAATCAGTCACAAGACTATAAGTAGATGAGTTGAGTAGAATCTTGAGTGGAAGACGACGAGGCCATCGTCTCATCTGCCTTTTTAGAAGACATCCTTCCTCTTTAGTCTTTTCTCTATGGCTGAAGGATATAAAAGTTGAGTTGCAAGGTCATTGCGAACGCCAGGCACAATGCGGAACCGCATTGTGCCTGTTATAATATGTTCAGAAGATTTAATTATCCTTGATTTGTACAGACATGTATGTATGTCAAACTATGCCAAACTGTCAAGTTTACTAAAATTTCTAATTTATTACAAAATAATAAAGCTGTATTTAATGTGTTGCTGTTTATAAATGATTTATGGCAACTATCTTATGTTCATAAATCAACACAAGCACATAGAATTACGAAGCACTAATAAGAAAATTAGATGGATTGGAAAATACAAATATCTCTTTAATTTTTCAGAACTGCCTACACCCTGCGTCGTTGATACTTGTAGATCGCACAATGGATTTGTGTAGTGTAACGAGTCATGGTACTGAGTCAGTTCTGGACAAGATCATGTCAGCGCTGCCCAGGTTTCCAGGACATTGCACTGACGTCGCTGTGGATATGTCACCTCTTTGTGAGGCTAATGTGTAAGTTAATAATAATAATGAGTTAATTTGTAGTGTAGTCTCGTATTTAGTAGTCTTATATTTCAAGTACGATATTCTTCTGATAAAGTTATTGTCAACATGAAGGTTTCCAACTTTCATGATCAGTTATAGCTAAAAGAAATGCTAAAATATGCTCAGACTTATCATAATTCTTTTTTAATTTATTCACATCTATAATTTTATACATCTGATCATACTAACCCGACTTTGAACAAAACCTCAGTTTCACAAAAATATCTAAATGACATATTACCATATGTTCCAGGTTTGACCACCCACATGACATTCAACTCAGCCCGGGTTGTATCTACCATTCTGATGACGAATCATGCATACAAACATTTGAATACATGATCAACAAGTCTCAGAAAGAAGTCATGTTCGATCTCTACAACAAATTGACAAAGATCGACATTCAAAAGTCACCAAGCCCCAAGTCCCTGTTGAAAGTCACTCCTCAAAGTGTTGAGAAGATTGTGACTGCGACTAAAGGTAACGTAGACCTAATTAAAAAAAATAGATATAATGAAATTAAGATAGATGTTAATTAACCAACTTCAAAAACGGAGGTTCTCAGTTTGACCTGAATCAGTATGTCTGTATGTTTTTATGCTAAATCTCGCGATTGGCTGAAAAGATTTTGATGTGGTTTTCAAATAAGTGTTTATTACACTTTACATGCTTAGTGTATAAATTAACCGACCACAAAAGAACGTAAAATAATTGTTTAGCGTAACTTTTATGGAATAGGAGGCAAACGAGCAGACGATATGTGTTAGTTAAGGTTCAATAGCCTTATGATCTTATTTAGACATTGCAAAAAGGGGGTGTTATTGAGATTAAGCAATTAAAATTGAAACGTAACATCACGCCTTTTTACCCGAAGGGGTAGGCAGAGGTGCACATTTCGGCACTCAATGCCACTATAACACCCACTCATCACTATATGTTATGAGTCCCATGTAATAGGGGGTGAGCCTATTGCCATATACCGGATTAAAATTGAATTAAAATTGAATCTACAATTATTATTAAACACTTCTACTCTCCCTGTAATATAAATTAACTCACGATAAATATATCTTGAGTTAATTGTTGATTTCACGATCGCATTTTTATGTCATGCTTACTTAAAGGTACTTGAAATGCAGTGAATATTTGCCAACTACGAATATAAGTGCTGCCAAAACAATCGTCCCCTTGTAACAACAATATGTATACCTTTATAACAATAAACATATAACAAAATGATGTTTAACAACTCAATATAATGTTACAGGAAATTACGAGGTGATTAGCAAGCATCTAGGCGTCTTGCAGCAGTCCTTGGCGGTAGTACAGACTCTGAAGTCACCTAAACGAGCGCAGCATGAGCTGCTGATGAGTTTGGAGAAGCAGGTGCACCAGAACCTTGCCACCAGTCGGGAGTCTACTAGCGTTCTTACTCAGGTACAATATTACTACAATATATAGTAGTATATAGTAAAATTTTGAACTTCTTATTGTTTGTTCCTTTGCGTCAGTGTGAAAAATAATCATAAAATTAAGTGCAGTTGCCACAAGTTAAGATGTCGATTCCCGAAATTACTCGAGATCATTGAATCTAAACTTGTATATTTGTTTACATGTATTAATGGTCATACTATCTTTAAAATGAAATTTTCACACCAGGGTTAATAACACTTTAATCACAGCATGTATTTTCATTCTACAGATTTGTCATCTAATAAAAAATCGTAAAGAAAAAGACCTTCCTTTAGAGAACCTGTTAGCTCTACTGATGCACATATATGCAGTGAGGGACATAGAGGTCCAATTCCCCGCAGACCACGAACAGCAGCTCATTAAGACGCTGAGTGTCGCCTTGTTTGAAGACAAGAACAGTTTGTACAAAGACACTTCTGTCATAATGTCTCCTGAGGACTGTGAAGCTAGGGCCAGTTGCATACTGATGCAGCTAAGGAAAATTACTTCAATGAGAAATGTTTTTCGCAAGTGAGTATTTTGTACATCCCAAAGATGTCATGTTCCTTAAACACTTGAATCAATTGTGTCACGCGATAATTATTATACAAAAGGTATCATGCTTATGTTCCTTAAATTCTGACTTCGTTTTTTACAGATATAACTCCATATTGAAGCCATGTGAGACGGGTGTGGGACACGAGTACCGTAGCGCTGTGCAGCAGTTAGTGGAAGACATGGTGAACACAGACAAACCTGACCTGGTTGATTTAGACCAGTATAGGAGTGATAAATTAAAGACATTGCTTCGCAGTGGGCTTGGGTAAGACATTTTACACATATATAATTTTAAGTCTACCGCCATCTAGCGGCTAGTAGCATATTCTTTTTAAATGGCGCCATCTAGCGGGGAGTGGTAGAAATAATGTTTCATTATTTTGTTTTTCAGAATGTTAACAAATAGAAAAGTAAAGACAAGACATCCTCTGGATAATCCTACTATAATCATTTTTGTGATCGGCGGGATTACGGCTGAGGAATGTAAGCGTTTGCATCGAAGTGTGATTACTAGTGGTGTTGATAATACTGTTCTGATTGGGGCCACGAAGCTGGTCACTCCGGTCGAAGCAATGAGGGATATACTACCGTTATAGCAGAAGCCTAAACCTGAGCGAAGTCCATCACATTCATTTATTTGAAGTGTGTAGTCTCGTTCAGGTTTTTTACGAACTGTAAATGTGAAATGAAAAGTGGGTTACTTAATATGAACGCGTTATATTTTAATAAAAAATATCTTTGCTTTGAATGTTATATCAATAATTATTGTATAAAAATATGTGTAACGTTTTGCTGGCAAAATACTGTTACAATTTAATTCATTAGCTGATTAAACCATGTTATTTCCACTTTAGTTAACAACCACTTTGATAAATGTGCTTGTGTATTCAATAAAATGTCGAATTCTATAAATAATAATCAAAGATATTATCATTGCGAAATTGCTTTGCGAGGATGCCAAAAAGTATATTATTTCATCATAACACATCACACCTTTATCCCCGAGGGGGTAGGAAGAGGTACATTACGCCACTTTTTACTATTTATGTTATGAATTCAATGTAATAGGGAGGCTTATGGCCATTATTATATTATTTCATGGTGTTTGTATGTATGTAAAACTACCAAAATATAATTACCACTGCATAAATAAATGTTACAATAAAATTCTATGGGAAATGTAAAACTTAATGTCATAATTAATATACCTAAATAGATGTAATTATTTTTTCTCTACATATTCCTTACAAAATATTCCATGTAATTAAGAAATGTTGTAGTTAATATTCAATGTAAAATCGGTGTATATATTTTTTTGTTTCTGTAACGAGAAATTGTAATTAGTACAATGTATATAAACTTCTGTCTCGTTGCAATGTTTACTATATCGGTTGAATAATGTATTCGTAGTTTAAAATATAGCATTTTATATCGTAGATTGGTGTCTGTTTAAAATTGTAATGCCTTGAAACAAAATTTCAAGACTTTCGTTTAGTTCGAAAAATAAATATAACTTATCTGCCGAAACACAAATGTAATTTAAAAAAAAATGAGAAAAAAATGCTATTTACGAGTTTTTTAGTTGCAAAGCATGGATTGGCATAGACTAAGGTGGTTAGGTGCTAGTTTTTTTTGTTATTATATTTATTTGTTGTTCTGTTGTCTGCTGTATAAAATAATAGTATAATGTAACTGTAAGCTTAAAGCAATGCAATTACAATGCAATAAATAAAACAATTATTATTGAATTTCATGTTTTATTTTTCTTTAGCCTCCTTCTTATTTATTTTGAACTAGCTACTTTCACGCGGTTTCATCCGCTCTGCTCGGCTCCTATTGATCGTAGCTTTCTTTTTATATAATATAACATATTAATTCTTCATGGACTGTCATACATTTTTTATATAGCTGGATGTTGTTTTTTTGCCTTTTTAGCCTTTTCTAATAAATCGAATATACAACACAAAGAATTTTTCAAATCAGACCAGTAGTTCTTGATGTTAGCGCGATTCAACATTTAATAAGATTATAAGAAAGTATAGCTCAGTTCAGCTCAGCAGCTAAATCAGCTCAAGGTCACTTTCACTCTGTCCCTCAACAAATTTGTTTTTACGGGGTGTGTAAGTGTGTGCGTGGATTATTTTTTGGCTAGGATCTCTAGATTTTATGATACTTATTGCAAGATTCTCTCAGGTCTAGGACAAAACTAGTCAAATATCACTATTGAACACACATTTTGTACATATTAGTGGAACGAGCTCCTAGCTTCACTGATAATTAAATGCGACGTTTCAAAAGTGCCTCAGTTATGGATTAATTGAAATGATTACGTAAATGCTTTGACTTTGACTCTGAAATAGATAAAAAAGGAATAATTAGGAAAATAAAACAATATAATAAACACTTAGGTAAAAGTTTATTTTGCAAATACTATTTTGTGACCATTTATTTAACTAAGTAGTCAGTTCATTCCCATTTCAGACAATACTACTCCAATACAATTAAACAAATTGGACGCCGAAATAAGAACAAATAAGTACCTAGGTATTTGACAACATAACAGCTATGTTTTAGGAATGTTGTTTGATTTTAAATGTATTATAATAGTAATACAAAATTATTAATTGGCAGTTATAAATGCATGGTAAGGAATAAAAAAACATAATATTATTAGAAATACCAGAAATTAGTCTAAGTTTTGTGCATAAGAGAGAATAATCAATTTGGGCTCTGTCATTACACTCATTATTTTGAAAAGATGCAATGTAAAAAATTATCTTCATTTGTTGAAAAACGTGTAGCTGCAACTAAAGATTGATATTAAGTTGGTTTATATACCTGAGGCCTTAGTACGAGTTTGATTTACGTTTAAAGTAATCGTAACGAGTACGCGTTCGGCACTTTGATTGGCCGGCGCCAATGAAACAACCAATCAGAGGCCTTAGTACGAGTTTGATTTACGTTTAAAGTATTCGAAACGAGTTTGCGTTCGGCACTCTGATTGGCCGGCGCCAATGAAGCAACCAATCACAGCGTCGAACGCGTACTCGTTTCGAATACTTTAAACGTAAATGAAATTCATACTAAGGCCTCAGAGTGCCGAACGCGTACTCGTTACGATTACTTTAAACGTAAATCAAACTCGTACTAAGGCCTCTGTGTCTAGGTTCAGGTTCGTTATTGTACTGTTCCCGTATTATTGTTAGGTATACTAAAATAAATAGATAGGTACTGCTCCTTGGCTCATCTTGCAACTAATACAATAACAATGTTTAGGAACTTAAAAAAATACATACTTTTGAAACACTGCATCTTGATATCTATAATTTAATGTTATCATAGGTATATTCATTAAGTATCTAGCCCATTTACTTCAAAATTATTGTTCTCAATCAGCCAATAAGTTTTAATTTGATTTGTAAAAATGCTTTGTGATGAATTATTGAATTCAATTTGCCGCCATTTTAGAAATCGTAGACAATAGCATATTTTTTTAGGAAGACGGCCATATTTCATATCCTACCTAGACTATCGTTTATTTATCACATTTTTTTCTTGTAATATTTTTCCTAATGCCTACTATTATTGTATCGCCAATTACGTTTCTACTTCGAGCCTACTCGAGTAATTTAAAATATAAATTATAGACAAGCTAAAGAATTTAATTTATGGACTGTGGCGGGTCAAGCTCCAATTTTTTTTGAATGAACCAATAATATTTTCTTTTTCTTTTCACTTGTCACACACATTTTATAAACGTTGAAATGAGAGCAAGTTTCGTGTTTTAGATATTTTGCAAGCAAATGTTAACGAAATTCTTAATTTTTTGGCGGTTTTTAATAACATGTCATTGCCATGTATGGACTTTATTGTATGTATCGATTTTAATACTTAGAGATTTTGAATTTTCTGTAGATTCATGGAAAATGGAGAAAGGTCTGTCTTAGTCCAGTATTATTATCCCACTTTAAACGAAAAATACTCTCATCTCAACAGAAACGCGATCGTATCCTTACAAACTTACATTACTAACAGATTCATTTAAAAGTTCCATTCATGACATAAAGATAGTAATACTTAGAGTGTAGTTAGGCACAGGAGTTCAGTCCATGCCAGCAACGTCGCCACCTTTCCTGAAGTCCGCATTGGCGTAGATAGCAGTTCTATTTCTATAGAGCGCACAGATTATTGAGCCCCGACTGCGGTATCGGACCATCCCGTGGCCTTTTGCCCGAAGACCCTGCACTATGTCCTGTGAAAATATATAACAAAAAGGTCAGATGGAAAGGTACTTTATTCAGAAGAAATGAATTCATGTTCCAGGTAAATTTATCCTTGAACGTTGTCCAATGCAGAATTAAAAGGAATCTTACCTCAGTAACTCCAAATTCGTATTCCACGTGCATAGGGGTGATCTGATGATGTATCCTAGCCTCGTCCACAGCTTCCTTTATTGATTGATCGAACCAGAGTTTGCGTATTGTCACCTGGTAAACAAACGTACGGATATTACACTACAAATAAACTAAACCATTACAGAAATGATCCAATGTAGAGTAAGCAAGTCTTATGTCCTGTACTATCGGAAGAATCTAGTGCTATATTTCTTCAAGCGACTTTAAATCGAGGCCGACAGCCCATTTTTTGGCTTTCATAGACCGATGAAGTTTCGATGAGTTCAAAGTCACGGAGAAACCTATGGACAGCTTGCACTCATAAAATGCTAGCAGGTTGTCGTTCGGCGTGACAACATGTACTGGAGCTAGCTTTTCGTTCAGTAAAGGTCAAGTATCTTGTAGTGCTGTAGTTTATGATAATTTAAATATTATTCTATTGTCAAAACCACATATATATTTTTTTATATTTCTGTGGTCAAAACTTACCAAAGCCACAGCAGTAGTAATTTTAGTGCCTCCAGAAGCACCGATCACCAACTTAGCATTGCCATTCCTATCCACAATGATACTGGGACTCATTGAAGACATAGGCCGCTTGTGAGGAGCGATAAAGTTCGCTGGGGAAGGCTTCAATCCGAAGTAGTTGGTGATGCCAGGAGATGAGAAGTCGTCCATCACGTTGTTCATTACTATACCGGTTTTGAGGGTTGAGAAACCAGCACCATAGCTGTAAGGATAAAGAATATTAATTAAAATTGCCCAGAAAACCGTGGGGTTATGGTAAATACATTTGTCAACACCCCTATTCATCCCTTGTCCGTCGGATGTGCTGTACTTGTGTGGGTCAAGTAATATATATGACAGTTATAGATTTCAGTTGAGGGAGCGATGAGAAGTATTCGAAAAGTATCCGAGAAGTATCTTATCCAAAAAGTTTCAAATATTTCAACTACAACGAAACCGAAACTTTCTAAGACTTATAGACTTATACTCGTTACGGTACCAGTTGAATGGTATTGGAAAATTAGGCCGACATACCCGACATATAGTAGATAAATATCTACTTACTAAAAGTTTATAGAACTGGTGACTGAAACAGCATCACCATTGCCCGCAATGATGGATATGTGAGCGGTTCCAGCATCAGGCTGGTTGTAGGTCTCCGCTCCGTAGGTGGCAGTGTCGTTACTGGTGGACGTGTCGTTGATACGAAGTCGGATCTCTGTGCCATACTCCGGAGTTGTCACGTTACGAATAAGCTGGAAAGAATAAAAGAGCGTTTATGCGCTTTCAAGGCACAAGAGTAATTGAAATTATTAGTTTCGATATCGATTTCAATAAAACTTTCGAATTATACGCAAATCGCTTTAAGTGTGGGAGAGCCACGCTTCGGCACGAATGCGCCGGATCGACCGAAGTGATACCACGGCCTCACAGAAAACGTGAAGCAACGCTTGCGTTGTGTTTCGTCGTGTGAGTGAGGTTACCGGAGGTCCAATTACCCTCCCCTTCCCCAACCTCCCCAATTCCTGAATCCCCAACCATCCTCAAACCCCTAATCACCAAAAGGCCGGTAACGCACTTGTAACGCCTATGGTGTTCCAGGTGTCCATGGGCGACGCTGTATGCTTACCATCAGGTGATACGTCTGCTCGTTTATCGGCTTATGCCATAAAAATACGCGATTTGAGTAGGTACTATCTGGGTCCAAAAAGTTAGTTAAGAACATTTTTCAGAAACAGTTTTGAGAGACAGAAAATGACAATGCATTTTGTGTTCACCCATCCATCAAGTACCTATATCAAGTATACTACTATATATATTTTCTTTACACAATGTAACGTAACAAAAGAACAGCTGAATCTACGTCGTTTGTGTATGATAACAATCTAAAGGCAAAAAGGTCAAAGTTAATAATTTTAATCGCAAAATGATTCTCTAATATTTGTATAAATAAATAAAGCATTATTATTCAGTGACCGTTCTGTTATTATTGTCAAACTGATTACAAATTACGTATGATTTCCGCATCTAGTCTAGCAGTTATAATATTAAAATTATTAGATGTATGCTATGTTCGTTTCCTATTCAGCGATTTATGTGACGCAATTTATTAAGATCGATAAAAACTTTAATTATTTAAATTGCAAATTAAAAGCTATACATTTTGTATTTAAATACGCACGTAGGTAATTAACCATCATTTTCCTAAAATAGAAAGCTTAAGGCATTCGTTTAAACTTTGACCTCGGATTGTGCCATGTTTATGGTTACCAATCGTAAAATTAATTAAAGGACACATTTTACGACCTAAAATGAAGATTTCATAGTAAATACAATATTATAGGGTTACATTAAGTATCATTCTTTTCATCTCGACCTATCCTTCGAGGATGAGGAGCAGGGGTGTACCCTCCATATTCACAAATAAATTTGGGCCTAAGTATTTTCATCATACTTCAAAATACAATGCAAGTCTGTTTCACGCCAGTTTCATAAGAGGACGTGGTATATCACTGACTTTGAACGTGGCGTGGTATATCACATGTCTCTCACACATGTTTAGTTCTAAATTCATTATTCTGGTCGCTTACCTCACTTAAATCCAAAAAGTCGCTATCTCCTAGCTTCGTTCTGGTCGCGTACGCGTACTTGAATGCTTCTATGATCCTATGGTAGGTGAGGATCTTGTCCTCCGTGGTATTGATGCTGGCAGCTGTGAAGTTGTACCCGCTGAGAATGTTCAGTATGTTTACAAGGATAGCCCCACTGCTGGGCGGAGGCGGAGAGTAGAAGGTGTCTCCATTACTCAAGGGGACCGCTATTGGTTCTGAAATTTTCGCTCTGAAAAGAAAATGGAAGTTTTAAAACATTTTCTATCGTTGTAATGTTTTTAATGTCGCGAAAATCAACATTTAACCGGTTTTTGAGTTGTTTTAATGTGTTGATGTAAGCTCACCTCAAAATCCTGTGTTTATTTTATTTTAATCAAATGTTATAATTGCGTAACTCTGTCTGTCTGCCTGTCTCTCCTTCATGCCTAAACTACTGAACCATAGTACAGACATACTGGTACAGACATAGTTTGAAACTCGAGAAAGGGCATAGGAATTTTATCCCGGGAATCCCATGGGAGCGAGAATTTGCCGAAAATTCCACGAGATCGGGAACTAGGTATATGGGTAAAACCAAAATTCTGCCAAAAGTCACTATTTCCCGCAGACAAAGTCGTGAGCAGAAGCTAGTAATTAATTTAAACACATATTTTACACAAACACATCAAGAATCAGATCGATAAGTTTAGGAAGACATTTTTTTAGTAGGCAATTTAATAAAGTTTATAATGTAGGTATCTCCTAGCAACAACAGAGTCCAAATTGGGATCAATGATTTTGTAAAATTCTCGCTTAAGAGGTGACCAACATTCTAGATTCTGTTTTGTCTACTTAGAGTCGCTAAAAGCTAGGCTAAGCAAGTTCGTGCATTCTAAGGTCATTGACACGTACCTAATAGATAATTTCGACATATCGATAACATCGTTCTATAACCTTATCCTCAAATAGCAACACGTTGTAAACATAATAATATTAATTAAGTGTCATAATCTAAATTGCATTCCGTCGCTTGTAGCCAACTGCTGAGAAATTTCCGGCTTGCTTGCATCTATTTGTGTCTTGTCGTGGTTATATTTTGCTGAGAGACGCACGAAGTTGATTTGTGTTTTCGCAGTCAATATTCCCATCTTTTTTAGGGAATTTCAGTAGGAGGTTTTGAAACATGATTATAAATTATAATATCTTAATGTAAAAGTTAGATGTTTGGTAGTGAGTGGGAGAATAAGATACGTTTCTCACCAAACCTTTGGTGTAAGTAGTTGACTAATTCATAATTGACCGAGCCCGGAATTATAATGAACCCTCTTAATTAGATATGTAGAAGAAACCTATATGTAGGTAGTCTATCAAAAGAATGTCATGGGATGTGATGTTGTTGATGAATTATAAAATAGGCATTTGTTCAAGTTGAATCGTAGATACTTAGGTTGCAGCCCGTACTGGCCTGTAGGTTGGTAATGTTGCCAATTTTAGAAACTACTGCTAACTTGTCTATTCATTGTTGTCAATTTATTACGGGACCACTATCCGTCCAGTGTTTCCAGTCCAGTCCAGTACAGTTTGTCTTAGGCATTTTGACCAGTCATGAATTCCCTACAAATGTAGGTATCCAGTTAATGCTAGTAGGTAAAGAAAGTCATTTATTGTTTTGATAAACGTGAATTTTGTTTTTTTTATTGACCAGTTTATCAGAAATAAGGGCCAGTTACTAAAAACTTACACAAATATGGGTAGGTAGGTACTTGGATACCTAGTAGTATTAACATTCAAATTAAAAAAATATTTCCTTTTGCGACACAGGTAAAGCAAAATGGCGGCCCTGCTGTCATATTAACGCATGACAGGCGACAGTTGGTAGATAGTCGACTTATATTTACGCAAATTACATGACCACAATAAATTACTAATATATTATATACCAATATTTAAACAATAAAAGCATGTATATTTCCATTGTTTTCCCAAAGTAAGTCATCAGTCACTACAATATTCTATACAATTATCTGTATGAGTCACTTAACATTTAATCAGGTGCAATAATGTTTTGTTTTAATATTCACAGGTGTTGTGAAATATTCCTAATAGTTCAGCAGTTAGGTTTTCATAAGTTTGCCTAGGTATTTCTCGTGTTATCGCTTATGGAATTCGGAACGAATTGCAACGAATTCGTCACAAGCACCGTGACTTCAGTCACCAATTTGACCTTCGTAAGTATTTTTTACAGAAGTAGGTGATACTAGTAAGGTTAGCTAGGTTTATATATAATGTGCAAATCCAAGGAGTCTGAGTATGAAAGTTATCTTTTTTTATCCTTACTAATATAATATTATAAATCGGAAAGTGACTTTGTTTGTTTGCTTTGAATTTTTGCAGATGTACAGTTAGAAGTGTGGATTAAAAATAATAGGGTACTTTTTATCCCGGAAAAATTAGATGTTCTCGAGGGAAAACGAAATTATTGGTGTAGATGGCGCTGTGTGTACTGGTATATGTCATATAAGCTACTTTTTTGATGCGAGCGAAGCCGCGGGTAAAAGCTAGTACTCTGTAATCGACATGTTTGGGTGGTATTTCTATTCGATGCAGTTGGACAATTTGACTGTGTGCTCGCAAATTAATTTAAGTTTTTAAAGTTGATCTAATCGTGAATTACCTACACTAAGATGTGGAAGGTAAGGTTAGGTGTAAGGTTCAAAAATGTTTGCATTGTTTGAATCTAGTTTCTACAGAAGTGGGTCAAATTAAAAGCGTCAATATGACATTAAAAGGATCTTCTTTCACAAATTTTCGAGATACTTAGACCCAAACAAAATAAGTATTTTTGAGTAATAGAAATTACGTTTTTATTGTGCGTGGTTACAAAATTACATAACAGCTGTTTAAATGTCAACAATGATGCAATAAGACGAACTGTTTAAAAACAAGTTTATGCGTACCACCTTTGTGAACGTTTATTGAACTGCGGTTAAATTAACGCTTTATGTAGGTTAAATTATAAGTACAAGTTTACCTTTTAGAAGTTTATACCTATATCGATATCAAATCGTTGGGTCTACTGAATCCTGTTTTGGTAAAATTAATTTTTAAACAAGACGAGGTTTTGGTTTGCCTACTTATAGGTAAGTATTTGTTAGATACATATTTTCAGATTAAATATGATTGAATTTTGAACATTTTCGGAATATCGCGTTTTAAAAAAGCCTAAAAGTTCACTCGTATAATAACATTGGCAATACTTAAATACTAACCAAATCATTGGTTATCTGTATAGTATTTCTGACCCTCTTTAGAATTCATCGTATAAACTTATTAGATTTATTAATCAAGAACAATGGTTAAAATAATGACTGTTAGGTAGCATTTTTGCGGAAGCCAGAGGGCGCCACCGTCGAGTAAGATCCTTTTAGCAAAGTAATTGTCGTTGTTGTTTAACATATCCTCGTTGCTACCTTCAAGTACCAACGGAAAATGTTTATTAATTTCCTTATTGAATTAATAGGAGGAAAATAGCTTGTCTAGGACTTTCGACACTTCCCAGGCTTAGATATCAATCATGTCTCAGTTACAAGAAAAATATTTGTAATAGCTAATGGAACAGAAAAATTATTATGTTCTATTGTTTTTGTTATCAATGACTAAGGAATTTCTGTAACTGCGCACTTATTGGTTTCTTGTTGATAGAACCAGTGTTTTGTATTATTTGAATAGGTGCAGGTATGAATTATAAATACTTCCATTACTATGATTCATTTAACACAATACAATTTTCACAATTAACTGATTGTGAATTTTTTTAACGAGTAGCGACATTATTTACTGGTCGTTTTTTTTTCATTCAAAACTATACTAATAGACCGACTGACGGACAATTGAATTTTAACGTTTCGAAAGTGCCTAGTTAAGGATTAAATGAAATAAATGCTTTTATTTTCAATTTTCCCCTATGCCACAGGACATATTATTACTACTTAGTGTATGAACCAAGTGGTTTAAGTGTAATTTAACGCACAATTATAGATGTTCTCTCTCTCTCTCTCTCTCTCTCTCTCTCTCTCTCTCTCTCTCTCTCTCTCTCTCCTAAGATCTGAGTGCGACCAAAGAGAGGAGAGATATATAAGACGAAGACGAAGGTAAAAAATTAGCACAGAATATTTTATATAGACTAATTAAATACTAAGTATTATATACATTTCTCATTACATTAATTATGACCTTGCACCGTGCCATGTTATCACATGGTGGCCGTAAGAAATTGATTCTGATTAGGTACACGAACATTGAATTTGGCCTTAGGTATGTAAGTCGAATTACCTTTGTGAAAATTAACAACTATGAACTTAAGTACCACTACTTCTGTAATTTATCCAATTAGCGTTTTTTGAGGGGGAAAACTATCAAACGACTTCTCCCGCCCGGGTGAGGCGAGATAGAGCGTCAGACTCTTACTGACTTAAACCACCCCGTTCCTACTCCTGCACTTCGAGCCGGAGCCCCAGCAAACAAGTCCTCCGCGGCTCCGTATAGGCTATCAATCTTACCTGTTGAACCTTTTAGAATGGGTAGAGAAACGAGGAAAGTTTTCTATTACTTATATCTAGTTTAAGTAGTGGTACGAACGTTAAAAGGAGGGAACCAATCATTTGACCTACAGCAACATACATAAAAGTATAGTATAGGTACTATCTGTGCATACCTACATATGTATACAGGTTGACCAAATGACCTAAGAGTCGCAGAGCCGTTGCCTTTACTGGCGATACTAAGAATATCGTAACTTACGTACTTCCAACTTTGTTCGTGCAATTAAACAAGGTTTTATTTTGTGCCATTTTATAAAAACAACAATGAAATAAATATTCCCTTTTGAAATTATTCAAAACTATGAAAATACACAATAATGTTCTACACCGTGCTACATACTAGTGTTGTAACAATGCCATACATGTCATATAGGTCTTCTCTTTATTTTTTACCAGAATACAAAAAATGTTGCCAAAAATTGTTGAACATGTATTTTGTTACATCATTATGACCTTGACCAGTAGGTTAAGAATATAAATAATAATGCTCCTACCAAAATAGGCAATTTATTCACTATACAATCGATTTAATAATTCATTAAACGATTACCAAACTGTTCCTTCCTGCATTTATTTACATACAATAACGAATAAATGCATTGTTCATTATAACCGTTATGTAGGTGGAGGTATAGTAACCCACGCGATCACGTACTTATCACATCTGACGTAAATAAATACAATCTACACGATTGTATAGATGATGATTCTTATGGCTAGAGAGCGCCACTGTTGCGTTTATATTCTTTTTAAAGTTGTATTTCACAATAGCTAAATTAAATTTAGTTAAAGTTCAAATTAGGTAATAAGAATATATTGTTCTTAAAATTCTAAAACAAATAAAACGATGACTTACTCGTATTGCCTTAGATCATCAGCAGTGATGATGCTGCCGACCCTCTCCAGGTCATCCAGGAGATCAGCTGCCAGCGTCCCGTTGTAGAGGTCATCGCCCCCGTTTTCAGCTATCCTCTGGTAGGTGTTGCACAGAGCTTCACTGGGTTTTATAATCGTGCCAGGCTTGTGGAACTGTCCTTTAGCCGTGTTGAAGTACATTTTCCTGGAGATAAACAAGAACCTTGATATAATTAAATGATGAATTTCATTACGTGGTTTTTTTTACGTTCCTCGAAGGATAGAGGACCCCTCGTATTAAATTATAAAGTTGTTCACTGTGGACCTAAGTAATTACTGATTATTGTACTCATAGTTGTTTTAACGAATTATAGAGAGAAATGTAAGTACAACATCAGTTTGAGTTTACATAGACTACGGTGACCATAAGCCTCTGTTGCTACTGTTGCAGGTAATATAAAAAAGAAGTAGTTATTTCAGTGTATGGCATAAATAAACACATTTCATTTGTTTAAGAAATAAGGAAACTGTCGAACTTCCTTGTGACGATTTTATATGGGTAAAGGAAGACATCATGTGAATATGGTCTCGATTCAATTGTTTCAAGTTCAATACTGTTTCTTGGGTTGCGCAGGCGACAATCACATAATGATGCGACAAAGCTGTCAATGGACAGCTTAATCAAACGGGAATCCGAAGTAAATTTTATGGAGGACCCCTTATCTTGAAAAAAGGGTGTGTCTTGAAAGTTTGCTGCAACCTGAGTGAATGTTCGGTTGGATCTTTGCATACCCGCTATGAATTTGTTTTATACAAGGTGTAGAAACCGTGCCATTTCTCGGGGGCATGTTACAGAAGTCATAAAGGTTCAATGTAAGAGAAAATTTTGAGCCAATAGTTAAAAATACGGCTATAAAAAATCGACAGTATTTCAGAATAAGCGATAGCAATGTTTTTTATTAAAGTTTTATGGAATTAGGAATAATATCAATTACGTGTTTGAGTTTCTGTGTGTTAAGCCGCGTTATAAAGCTAGTTACAAGACGGCAGCGTGTACTTCGCACTTACGGATTTCCGTAATTTCAGAAAAATGAAAAATATTTACCTACAGTTTTTTATTGATTCGGACTCAGAATCCATATCCGAGTTACCTCCTAGAAAATGACGCGGCTGTAAAGCAACACCTTGTATACAAATTGCTAAGTGCCTGCTAAGTGATCAATCTGGCACCGGGTAACATCCGTCTTCATGATTTTATTTCGCTGTACCTAATTGATTGAAATTTATGAAAGCATAGTAAACGGGTACATTTTGGTACTCCAGCACGTACCTCTACGTTTAAAGTACCTGCATAGTTACAAATGCCATATTAAGACCATGTCTCCTGTCTGTTCGCAATAAGCTCAAAAACTACTGAACAACTTTTTCACGAAAAACTATTGTTTAGGAAGATCTATACAGACAAATAAAATTGTAGTGTATGTTTGTAATATTAAAATAACTGCTTGCATATACGTAGTATACATATACTAAAATAACATTATTTACAATTTTTGTCTGTCTGTTTGTACTGACTAATCTCTGGAATGGCTGGACCGATTTATGGGATAGATAAATTTTTTTTATGGAATAGGAGGCAAACGAGCAGACGGATCACCTGATGGTAAGCGATCAATGCCGCCCATGGACACTCGCAACACCAGAGGAGTCACAGGTGCGTTGCCGGCCTTTTATAAAGGAGTACGCTCTTTTCTTGAAGGTTTGAAGGTTGTATCGGTTTGGTATCGGTATCGGAATGATGATGAAATGGATCTTCATTGGCAAGTAGTTGATGTACTATGGTAGGCTACTTTTATTTTGGAGAATTGAAACAAGAAAAACGTTATGTTCATATATTTCGCAGACGAAGTCGCGGGCAACAACTAGTTTGAAATAAATAGGTAGATACTATTGTGTACTGCCGATGTCGGTACAAAGCATCAACACTGAAAGATAGATAAAAAACAAAAAACTATCGATTTAGCAACTAATCTGTTTGTGCTATTTTGTTGTCATTTATCATAATTAATTGACAAGTAATTAGCTGCGGCAGACAAAAATGTACTAAGTATCAGCTTACTATTGTTTACTTATTGTTCGTTATTATTGTGAACTATATGTTTTGCCCTTTGAATAAATGTCGATTTAGCATTGCATTAAGCAAGTCTAATTAGTAGGTACTACGTAGTATTTTTTTAAGGGCGAAAATCATCGAATGACCTCTTCCGCCTAGGTGAGGCGGGAGGGAGTGTCAAAGTCTTACTGACTAAAAACCACCCCGTTCTTACTGCTGCACTTCGAGCCGGAGCCCCGGTAACCCGTTAGGTTCTCCGCGACTCCGAATCGGCATCGGCCCTATTGGCGCGCGGGGAACACGATGCCGGCTGTGGATGGATACTACCTCTATATGAAGTTCATAACTGGATTATATTATTTGACAGATATATTATATTCATCGGGGAATGGAAACGAGCTGACGATGATTGAAGATGGTATTTGACCCTTGTAATAAAATCTTTTAAATTTTGTTACTTACAATATATATTTGTCGATTTTGAAATTAAAATTTCATCCTGTTTTCTATCTTTGAGGGGGCTAACATTTTCTATCATTTAACTACGATAGATATAGAAAGATAGCAAGTGAAACCGTAGGACAAGGGCTAGTTTGTATAATAAATCAATAAACTCAAGGAATGTGATATAAAAAGACTTGTGTGCCAATAAATTAACATCAAGTCTCCGTAGAGGAAGCGTTTTATATTTATAGCTTAAGGAAGTTGTTGATAAAGTACAAAGACATAACGTTGGTACTACGAACACGTTCATACGTATATTAAGAACATAGGAACTTTACCTATACGTACAGGTACATGTATTTACGGTAACAAAATAAGAAAATTAAGAAATTAGGTGTGTTTTTTTACGTTGCCCCACACTAGGATTTTCTCCTATGTCGTGGGTGCGTTTACAAACATACAAGTTCACATACACAATGACACCCAGACCCGGAACAACAATTTGTGGATCACACAAAGAGTTGTTCCGTGCGCGAATAGAACTGGCGACATGTTTCGCGGCAACCGGTTGCCCACCCACCGCACCAACCGTGTAGTCATTGTCTTATTGTGATATTGTCCTTTTAGGTGCTCCTAAAATTGGGCGTTTCCATGATAGGTTCCATGATAGCCATTTTAAAATGGCATAGTGTGGAATCTAGCCTAAAGACGTAGTTTTGCTCTTTTAGTCTTAGATTCCAGTATGCATTTTTACCCAAAGTACGTTACCTAAAGAAAGTCAAAAGTAGACAGAACACTTCTATCAGCGAACTTACCTAAGATGAGGATCATTCTTGATGTATGGAGCGCTCTCTAGTCCATCATACATGACCTTGGACATAGCGAAGCCGTTTCTGCACAGATCCAGGCTTGGAGCCACCAGGTTCTCCCAGGATAACTTGCCCCATCTCTTGTGGGCCGCCCACATGCCACGAAGCTCGCCTGGCACTCCAATGGATAGAGGACCTGAGAAACAATTTATTGTGGTTAAGCACGAATCTACACATGTCTTGAAGTACAGAAGCCGAATATTTAAACAATTTAATACAGATAATTTAATTTTTTGAACTAGAATACATATTTACTCGCTTCTTGTATCGAACATTATTTTTGTCTATGCATGACCCAAAGGTCCCATATGTTATGTTATGAGTCCCATATAATAGGGGGTGAGCCTATTGCCATATACCGGGCGCATTTCCAGACTCCGTGATACTACTGAGATTTTTTTAAATACCCAGTAATATCTCTCCGACCCGGGAATCGAACCCGAGACCCCTTGCCCGGCAGTCGCACTTCTCGCTACTCGGCCAATGACGCAGTCGCGCATTATTAAAGACTTAATTTGTTTATTTGAAAAACTGAGGAGTCAGCTTTATATATTACTAGGTATCTATCACATAGTTTGTTACACTACTTTCATCCATTACTACCTACTATTATTTATACAGATACCTTTTATTTACTTGATGCTATTAATTTTTTTTTATTAAGTAACGTAATAGGGAACGCTATTGAACTAATATTATGCGAGGTAATTTGTCTGTGTAGTGTTCAGATGTTTATCAGTATATATTAGTAATTTAGTAATTTGTTTCTTTTTATTTTGTTATTTTTTATTAATTTGTTTTTATTATTATCTATAATAATTCTGTAGTAGGAGTACTGTGTCGACCACATTCTTTTATAGTATAAGTTTGTTTTTTATATGTGAAGACTTGTCATTGGCTGTCAGATTCTCACACAATTTCTTAATTTTTGTTTTGTTAGCTGTTAGTCTTCCAAAGTTATTAAAAATAAATAAATAAACAAATAAGTTGTCTGAAATGAAATAGTATCAGACTTACAGGATATTTGGTAATACGATACTTATATCTCTACCACTCAAACTACAAGCGTGACGATTCATGGTTACATGTTCGTTTCTATTACGTATGTCATTATCAAAATCTAGAAATTTTAATATGATGCAATTACTATCATTATTTCATTTTGATAGAACTGAAAAATTAAAATGGGTACCGCATTTTTTATTTAAAACTAGCTGTTACCCGCGACTTCATTTGCGTGAAATTATTCATATTTCTTGTTAATTTATACTTTTTTGATGCAACAACGTGTTGATTGGCGAGACGTATTTGAGAGCTAGTATGAAACGGAACGTTTATTGTCTACTCAAGATGGCGACTGCGGTTTGTCTGTAAGTGTCATTAAAATGAATTAATAAAACGAAATAATCTCCGTAATCCGAATTTTGCGGATATATGTTGTCGACTCGAAATCGATATTTTTTTATGTTTTGTTATTCAGGTAATGATTCAGGTAACAACCGTGTATCCCTTGACTAAATTATTAATATAGATGGTCGCAGAACGTGTTTAGAACGTGAGCTATATTTGAAAAAAGAACAGACTTTAGTTTTTAAATGAAACTATTGTCAGGCAAAGGCACTAACCGTCAAGCCGCTTAGTTGACTAGATTATCTGTGTAGGATGAAACAGGCTAGGTAACGGGCCTCCAAGGTGGGTAATGCATTAAGTTGCTATTACTTGGGCCAGCGGTATCTGGTCTCAGCATAATTTAATATGCTGAATAAAGGAAGCGAGTCTTGCTAACATACGAGTGTATATTACTATTTGATCCAAGGACAAGTCAAGTTTCTCTCAAGTCAAGAAATGAGATCGATCCATATGGATCATTTGGACTAAGATCGGTTATTAATTTCGGATGATAATAAAGAAAAATTATATGGTTTGTTTGTTGGTATCAAATAAGCCACAAAACTACAGGGCTGATTTAAAAAGTTCTGATATGATATGTTTTTATTTGTTTCCTATTTAACTACTTTCTTTCAGGATGGAATGGACTAGAGAGAAGATTTATAATTTCCATGTGAGCGAAACCACAGGCAATATACTAGTTATCTAATTAGTTACATAAAAGCTTAATGAATTGGAAAGGCCAGTACGGGGCTTTGTACAATGAAACGAGTGAAACTAAGTACCTACTACGAACCGGCGCCAGCGCAAGTTGAGAGCAGTCTTGATTGGACGACATTCAAAGAGAAAGCCTCTCTTAGAGAAATTCGCAATGACTTACATATCACATGAAATTGTTATCAAAAATTTATTTGAAACAATCTCTGTAGGTACTGGTTTATGAACGCACTTACATTACACTCGTGATTTTGGTGACTTTTTGTCAACATATGCTTTGGGACAGTATTGTTTAACTTAGATCGAACACACAGGGGTCTCAGGTTCGATTCCCGGGTCGAGCAAAGTAATAAACCGGGTTTTAGTTCTCAGTAGTAGTATGGAGTCTGGAATTGTGCCCGGTATATGGCAATAGGCTCACCGCTTATTACATGGGACTCATAACATAAATAGTGAAAAGTGGGTATTACATTTTACAGTGGCATAATGTGCACCTCTACTTTCCCCTTCGGAGATAAAAGGCGTGATGTTATGTAATGTTATGTTGTGTTATCGAACACTACATTTAGGTTTATTAGATCGGGAAGGCGCATTTAATGCCACATGTATTGCAAGCATTCATATATTATATATGTATATCTATCAGTTTTGTATTTAAGCTAATATAATCACTTGTTTAATAAATGTACTTATACGATAATATTATTATTTAGTTACCTATAATGTTATGTAGGTAGTTATGTATATGTACGTGTATATGTATTGCCATCAGGTGGGCCATGTGGACTCTTGCCCCCGTCGTGGTATAAAAAAACATATTTTTTTGTAAATTCGTAATTCAATCACATGGGAAGCGAATCTTTATGTTAAAGTTTGGAAGTTATTAACAATATTAATATCAAGTCAAGTCTAAAAATCTAAAAATAGTTATAGTTCGGTTAAATGTCATTTTTAATTTTAATGTAGATCTATTTTTAAGAATAGAAAACTACAATAAAAATTTACCAGCTAGCCTGGTACAGATTGATTTGCACTTTTTTTAGATGTAGTCACGGATGAGTGCACATACTAACATTTGATCTTCAAGATTTTTTGCAAAGAGGCCTATCAAGAATGAAGAGGTTCGATGAATTAAGTTATACTTTTAACCGAGTGGCGATGGGAGTAGAATACATTTAAAATCACCTCTGGTCTTCTTTGGGATGTCTGCTTAAAAGGTGACTAAGTGACTAGACATTTAACAATAATTCTTTTATAAATACATAACGTCACGCCTTTTTATCCCCGAAGGGGTAGGCAGAGGTGCACATTACGTACAATGTAACACCCACTTTTCACTATTTATGTTACGAGTCCCATGTAATAGGGGGTGAGCCTATCGCCATATACCGGGCACACTTCCAGACTCCGTGCTACTACTGAGAATTTTTTAAAAACCCAGTAATACTTTGCCCGACCCGGGAATCGAACCCGAGACCCCTTGCCCGGCAGTCGCACTTGCGACCACTCGGCTAACGAGGCAGTCTTTTATAAATCTCCTTTAATAAAAACCGACTTCTACCCCCCTTTTTTAATTCGGTTTACTAATATAAGTACTAAAACCTTCTAAGTGTAATAAATACTCTTCTAAAAACTGCATCAAAATCGGTTTAACTAATCACGAGGTAGTCGCGCATAAACATACATACACACAGGTCAAACTGCGAACCTTCTTTCTTTTGTTAAAAACCGGATAAAAGTGCTTTCTAATGAACCTTTTTTTTTTTAAGTGGGGAAAATCATCGAATGACAGTAAGAGTCTGACACTCCCTCCCGCCTGGGTGAGGCGGGAGGGAGTGTCAGACTCTTACTGACTAAAAACCACCCCGTTCCTTCTCCTGCACGTCGAGCCGGAGCCCCGGTTACCCGTTAGGTTCTCCGCGACTCCGAATGAACCTTTACCGCGTCATGGTGGCCCGGAGGTTTAATACGCCCGCTTCTCATGAATGAGGGTGCCGGTTCGAAACCTACCAACGACTTGTACTAATGTGACTTATACATAAATACATACATACATAACTTCACGCCTGTTTCCCATGGGGGTAGGCAGAGACTAAGGAACGCCAATTACTACGATTCTTACATACCTCTTACATACCTCAATGTGACTTATTCCGAGTTATATTATGTACTTTCTAAGATTATTTAGACACCACTGACAATCGGTGAAGAAAAAAATCGTGAAGAAGCCCGGACTTATAATTTCTAATCTAGTTTGAAATCGCTAACCCGCATTGAGCAAGCGTGGTGATTAATGCTCAAACCTTGTGAGAAGAGGCTTTGCTGAGCAGTGGGCATTTAAGGGATGATGATGATGATGATGTACCATTAAAACTGCGATGTCCAACTTGCTTGCCAATCGTGGATGGTACGGCAAACTGACAGCTTTAATGAAGGCGTGGTCCATAGTCCAGAAGTGGACAGCCGCAGACAATTGTAGGAAGACTTTTAAAGTAAATAGTGTTGATTATTCTGCCTCATTGGTTGAATAACTAGATACAAGTGTAATTGTTATATGAAATCTCTGTTTCGATCCCAAACATCACACAGTACACAAAATACGCCAAAAACAAAAAACAGAAACAAAATTGTATTTATGGGTCAATTATTTTGAGAAATATTGCTCAAAACAGTCCGACACTTCCATTAAAACGACATATAACATTTGCCAAAATACGAGGGTTTCATAAATAATAACGACTAGGGGTGGAAAATTCTAGAGTTTATTCTAGCATTCGAGAGCCTGTCTGAATGAGGCGGATCGATAGACGCGACCCGACGACGACGCCCCGCAACAGCCCACAGATAACCTAAAAGTAGGGTAGGAAAGTCTAGAACTTTCTTATTATTACTCACAGAACATATAAAGGTACTATAGAGGTTTTATAGAGTACATTATTAATCAACAGTGGTTTCTAAGGTGTTCACAATTAGCCATCAGCACACCACAGATGGGGCCCAAAAGGGCTGATGCCGATACGGAGCTGCGGAGGACTTAACGGGTTGCCGGGGTTGCGACTCGAAGAGCAGGAGTAGGAACGGGGTGGTTTTTAGTCACTAAGAGCATGACACTCCCTCTCGCCTCGTCCGAGCCAGAGAAGTCATTGAATAATTTTCCACATCGAAAATTAGGTATTCACAATTAAGTTCTTTTCAGCTTAATTCACCGTGATGATGAGAACCTTAAACTGCAACATTTGCAACCTCATCATGATCTTCAACCCACTTTTCTTGATAGTTCACGACATTTGAGTTTCTTCTACTCATGAGGAGCTTCCCAAGATCTTTACGCTTTATAGAAGGGTTGGAAATCGTACTTTAAAAGGTTCAGGTATACCAGAGAAGGTTGCTGTCTGGTATATCTGCTAAATATGATGGTAGTTACTTAGCCAGGGAAAAGGCATAGTGACAAATATTTTAGACTAGGTATACTCGTCACCATGCATAATTGAGTAGGCTGCGCGACATTGCCGCGACCGAGCACGCTGCTCATGAGGAAGAACCCCTCTGTTGTTCGAAACTAGTACAGCACTTCTCAGTATTTTCACGTGAGTAACCCGCGATTTTTAGTTAATTTAGTATGTCTCACGATATAGTTATTATAAAACATTTTCGACTATGCCGCCAATACACGGATACTTACCTAACCCTATTTCTAGAACACGAATAATTCATATAGAAACCGTGTTTTATCTACATATGTACTCAACTGTTTTATTACAATACATTACTAATTGTTAGAGTACGTGATATTTTCGGTGTATCACATTTGTATCTAGAGCGTTTCCAATAGATACTGATCATTAACCGATATTAGTAATCGTTACTCTTTTGTTTTTTGTGTGAAACACGCAAGTTTTGTTCTTATTATAATATTATGTAGGTAGAATTTAGTTAGTTATTGTAAAATGTTGTCTTGTAATCATTAGACAAAGTTTCTTTGTTTACTTTTACGAATATGATAGCCTCAATGTCCAACGTCGTGGTAGCCCGGAGGTTCCGACTCGACGTGCAGGAGAAGGAACGGGGTGGTTTTTAGTCAGTAAGAGTCTGACACTCCCTCCCGCCTCACCCAGGCAGGGGGCAGACATTCGATGATTTCATATCATTCATTTTAAGGGGGGAAACCCCCTTAAATAAAAAAGCCCGGAGGTTTAAGTCGCTCGCTTCATATACATGAGAGTGCGAGTTTGAAACCGGCAAGTACCATTGTGACTTTTTCTGAGTTATATGTACTTTCTAAAGTTATTTACACACCACTGACAAACGGTGAAGAAAAACATCGTGAAGAAAACCTGGGCTTATAATTTCTAATTATAAGTTTGAAATCGCCAACTCGCATTGAGTAAGCGTGGTGATTAATGCTCAAATCTTCTCCGTGCTAGAAGAGGCCTTTGATCAGCAGTGGCCACTTATAGGCTGTTGATAGTCTTTAATTACGATAAAAAGGATTTATCTCTTATTAAGATAAAAAGTGTTTTAAGCTAATTTAAACAAAAAATAATAGATTATTATTAAAATCACGTGTAGGTAATCTACCGCACATTACTCAATACTCGAGTCACGCACAGTCGGATCCACTCGGTTGCACTTTCCGTTCATATTTCCAGAATTTTCTCGAACATCCGACTGAGTAGGTACATGAGTAAATATTCAACAGAGAACGCATTTCCAACTATGTGTGCAATATCGTTCTAGAACCTTCATTCTGAGTGTAGGTGAACGTGTTTGTATGTTAAGCGCACACTACTGCAGTGCCGTTCGCTTGCCCGGCGATCGATGACAGTTTGAAGTTGAGTCTCTGCCTGCAAAATAAATTCATTCTCCATGGTTCTATGATATTGTTGCTATCAATTCAATGTTACATTTTGTTGCTATTATGCTGTTCAATACTAAGTAAATGTAGAAATAAATTGACAAGTTCATTGAATAAATAGCTAGATAAGGACGGGTATGAACACTGTTTTAGTATTAATCAGTAGATGAAATAAGATCCATTTTGGTTTGCTTAATCCAGGATACCCAGACAGCTATTTGTTGACTAAGTACGCTACAAAAACTTGATCACCTGATTTGTTATCTCGTTACCTGTTAACCAAAATTGTATACTAAGTCATGATTATAAAGTCTGTATTACTTTGGCGCATTTCACAACCCTTGTTATATAACAGACTCACACAGTCTATCTATTTTTATAACATAAATATTTCGTTTATTATCAGCCAGCCTGTGATAATATTATATCTCTTGGTTACGGCAATTGTGTCACGTATGGCTTTAGTACTTCTGTGTCCCTGTTTTGCCTGCCTCTGTCTTTTGAAGTAGTCTTCAAAGGTCGTCTTGGAGAGTCTCCATCATTATTATCATCAACAGCCTATAAGTGGCCACTGCTGACCTAAGGCCTCTTCTCGTTAAGCGTACGGCGCGTCGCGTTCCGCGCGCGCCTCAAAGAGCCATCAGACCACCACAGATGGGGCCCAATACGGCCGATGCCGATTCGGAGTCGCGGAGAACCTAACGGGTAACCGGGGCTCCGGCTCGACGTGCAGGAGAAGGAACGGGGTGGTTTTTAGTTAGTAAGAGTCTGACACTCCCTTCCGCCTCACCCAGGCGGGTGCAGTCATTCGATGATTTTCCCCCCTTAAAAAAAAAAGGCCTCTTCTCGCACGGAGAAGGTTTGACCACTTGGAGATTCTTAAAATTCTTTGAATCATTAATCGGGTATTGTGGCGATAAATATTGCACATCGACTTTTGGAAAGGAACAATTGTCTGATATCCAGATATCACGATTATACATTTGTACAAAATAATATATAACATCACACCCTTTATCCCCGAAGGGGTAGGTAGAAGTGCACATTATGGCACTTAATGCTACTGCACAATGTAATCGGGAATCGAACCCGAGACCCCAAGTGAGTGAAGACTCCAAGACACTCGGCCAACGAGGCAGTCAGTTGTACAAAATTATTTAGTTTTAAATCATATGTATAAATCTTCCTTAAGAATCACTCTATCACTCTATCTATTAAAAAAACCGCATAAAAATTCGTTGCGAAGTTTTAAAGATCTAAGCATACATAGGGACAGACATACGGCGGATAGCGACTTTGTTTTATACTATGTAGTGAAGAGGCGTGCTCAACTAGGTAGTTTGATCAACTCAAAATCATGACCAGTACGTATCTATATGAGTCCATATAGCCGATCGTCTCTTTCTAAAGGTCGATATGCAATATTTAACGCCGGTTACTGAATCCAAAATTGATTGGACGAGTCTGAAAACTTTATTTACCTAAATAAACAAGTTTTGATGTATCGATATAGTTATTAAGATTAAAACCTGACCTCGTTTCATAACAGTTGATAGCAAGATACCTACGTGCTATCGCAGCTGATGATAAACATTGTTGATTATTTTGTTTTGTTGTTTATTATTATCATTAATTTTATCTTACGATTATCGCTATCTATTCGGAAAAGCCACTTAAGTACAATGTACCTATTTGTTATTGTTTTAATTCTTGAAAATGTATGACCTAAGTTCTATGAAATTGGTGTTAAAAAAGATAGGTTGAACTTAGAATCGTGTTTATGGACGTATTTTCAGTATTTTGTGTAATAATGAAGTAGATTCCAATTGTTCAAATACAATAAATATTATTTAGATGTCAAAAACGATAATGTTATTGCATAATATTATCGATAATAATAGAAAAATAATAATTTATCTATGAATTTTGTTTGAGGCAACGTTGTGATACCATAATTTTATTCAATTTGTATGACGGGATACCGTCTTAATCGGATATCTATTCGTAAATAAATAGTAGGACATACCTTTCGCAGCCTTGTCCCAGCTTCCATTGAACATGTCGACGGTAGCGGCTCCAGGAGCCATTTCCCTCGCGTTCACAGTGTAGGCTCTCTCTTCATCCTTCAGGTACACCGTCATGAAGAAGCCACCACCGAGCCCCATGCTCTGGTGGTTCAGGAGACCATTGCAGAACATGGCTGCCACTGCCGCGTCCACCGCCGACCCATTTTTGATGAGGATTTCTCTGCAGGAACAATTATAGTTGTAGTATTTATTTATTGATGCTAAAGTGTTCACAAGATAACCGCTTAATAGAAGTCCATAGAAAAGACGAGTGCACGTGTACTTAAAACTCTAGTGTATCTGTGTTTATTTAGCTCTTATTGTACGATATAATACGTGAGGTGTTTAAAGTATCTACATAGTACAAAGTATTGCAGTTAAGAACTCATCTATTCGCAAGTTATCGTTTAAAATACATATATTATTACACTTCAATTTACAAATACGTGTGTACATATAGTTATCTGCCCATGCTGTCAATGTCGCGGAGAACCTAACGGGTAACCGGGGCTCCGGCTCGACGTGCAGGAGAAGGAACGGGGTGGTTTTTAGTCAGTAAGAGTCTGACACTCCCTCCCGCCTCACCCAGGCGGGAGCAGTCATTCGATGATTTTCCCCCCTTAAAAAAAATACTCATTCCGTCGATGAAAGGCATAAATTAACAAGTAATTAAAACATTGTTGTACCTATAATATCTCCTATTTGACCTACACCGACAAAGTCTGCAAAGGTCACACTGGATCGACGTTATGAGCAGGCTAGATATACGATCGACCTCTCACTCTCTCATCTTAGCTAATGTACATAGACTACACAAATACTGTGTATAAAATATAGGCACGAGTTAGGCCTCTTTGCAAATATTGATATTAAAGATTCATCTCACAACCAGGCTCAATAACGGCGGTAGATTTACTCCACAAATATAGAATTTAGGTACCTACATTTCGTATGGATATGGCAATAGGCTCATCCTTTGTCACTATTTGTCACACACGAACATAACATAACATCACGCCTTTTATCCCCGAAAGGGTAGGCACAGGTGCACATTTGGGCACTTAATGTCACTGTACAATGTAACACTCAGTTTTCACTATTTATGTTATGATTATGAGTCCCATGTAATAGGGCGTGAGCCTATTGCCATATACCGGGCACATTTCTAAACTCCGTGCCATTACTGAGATTTTTCTTTTAAAAACCCAGTAATACTTTGCCCGGCCCGGGAATCGACCACTTCGCCAATGATTTGTTTATTTGAAAAACTGAGGAGTCAGCTTTATATATTAGACGTGGATTTGAATATTTATGAACTGATCAGTTCCCATCACTTATTCCAATATAGACTTTATTTCCGATGTTTAGAGACTACTGTTATATGAACAAATTTTGGGGATTTTCGATATGATGTAAGTATCAAGGAATTAAAGACATTACTGGTATATTTTCTATGTTTTGTAGGTAAGTATTATTTCAATATAATATCTATTAATAAATATGTTAATATATTATTGTATGTAATTAGAATATAAGGATATTATGATTACTAATTATAACAACAGCATTAATTGTTTACCATGTGTAGGCACCTAAATTTTCCTTAACAGAATAATTACATATTTATACATGTAAGTGTACCTGTAATGAACATGTACAGTAGGAATATCACTTTACCAAGGACCTATTTTTATTTCAGCCTTCAAAAAGTAGGTGAAGGACATAACTTTCACCTTGTAAAGGGTATCTGGGTCAAATGGAGAACCATTTTCTCTAAATAGTGAAGATGTAATTGTATTTATACACAACTTAGGTACACATAAGAACATCTTTGTTTCACGGTATGTATAAATGTGTACAATTTTTGTATTTTGTTAAATTAACCACGCATTCATATTGCATAGGAACTTAAGTATGTAATGCGAGCGAAACTGTGGGATTAGGGATAGGTACATTTTATTTTTTTATTTTTTTGTGGGGAAATCATCTAATCCCTTGCCTACTACGTTGGCCGAAACGAATATTTAAGTACACGAGACAAATAACACAATGTATTTTTCATTGTGTTTATAAAATTATCAAGATTCTGTTAAATATCACTTAGGTACCCATACGTTGACAATGTCACGTAAATACCCTTCGAAAAGTCGGTATAAATAATACATACCTAATGATTTGAGTGCTGATTAATAATTTCCCTCGTTCAAAAAATGGGAAAATCCCATTAATACATACAAATAATAAAATCGATTTTCGTAAAACTTTCCCCGAATCGACATTTACAATTTCCGCACTCAGATATCGGATGACGCATACACCTTTGTTGCCTTTCACACGAAATAAAAAAGTGACTCATATAATGTTGTGTCATTTATATCGCACAGAACAACTAGTATTGCTCAATATATCATTTTTCGTAGGCAATACGCGAATACCGGTACTAACATTATGTTTAAAAAATAGATCTAGTAATCTAGTCCAACATTTTATAGGTCAAGATCGGATACAAAAAGACATTAGTCTGATTTCTTCGCAATTTATAGGTTTTATCTTGTTTTTCAGCCATTTATTTCACGAAAATATATCACAGCTGAAACTTTTCCCTACATTTCACGAATCAGTGCCAAACGAGTGCTCGAAATAGTGAAAAATAGAATAGAAAAAGTTTGGCTCTGATACCCGTTTCCCGCTTATTTTAATTCAAAATGGCGACGACATTTGACTTCTTGCTGTTTGTTTGTAAACTTAAGATGACGTAGGACTGTACTCTGTTACACAATACAATTAAGCAGCAACAATATTTATATTCATTTTCAGGATATGTAGGTACAGAAATTACTGTAAATTGTTCTATAATGCTTTTATAAAACATTTATAAAGTTATTTCTAAAAATGTAACTTTAACCAGATTGAAAAAAAAAACGTCTGAATGTTCTACTCAGGCAAATAAAAGAAGATTTCGCAATACCCTAAAATGAATGACGAATATAAATTGCAAATAAGTAGACACTTATTCCAGGAAAAATCAATAATTACATAGAAGATAACAAAATATTTCACAATAAAATCAGATTATAGTCATAGACAAATGTAAACATCAGTATTTGCGTAGTTCAAACATTGTTTAAACTTTAAACAATAATGAGAAATTATTCGCTTTCACAGATATTCCTTGCTATAATGGAATAGACATGTTTGCGTGCTTTATTTTAAAACGATAACTTAATGAACAATGCGTTAACATTTCTTGATATTTCATCATACCCAGTGTAATGTTTAATAATAAGAAAAAAAACTGGTGTGACTCGTTTCTCTGTTTTGAACTTATCACGTGTATTACGCAGAATATTTTCTTGGATTTGTTGTAAAAATTAATTATTTCATCTAGAACACTACCCACTTCCTCGCAGTTTCGCCCGTTCTGCTCGGCGCGTATTGATAGTAGCGTGATGTTTTATAGCCTATAGCCATCCTCAATAAATGGACTATCAAACACAAGAATAATTTTTCAAATTTGGACCAGCAGTTCCTGAGATTAGCGCGATTAAACAAACAAACTGTTCAGATTTATAGAATACTGATGTAAGTACCTATAAGATATTACATATATTTTAGATACTTAATAAAATCCTCTAATACCTCTACATCAAGCGATATCCCCACATCGATATCGAAACAAATATTGTCGTAATATCCTCAAGCCACAGAAATATCTTAGGACCTCATGTTCAACTGTAACCAAGGTCTGAGACATGAACATATATTATGTTGTTTATTTAATAACAATAACATACTACGTTTCGCAATATAATATAGAGTAAAAATAATTAGCTAACGTCATCGTATGAATGCTGAGAACATGAAATCTGATAAATCAGTAAATGGAAACTTTACTTAAAATACTGATATCAAGTTTCAACACTAGGTCAGTGTTTATTGTGAAAAAACTTGGCAGGAAACGAGAATAAAAATCTACGTACCTATACATAATATTTGTTAATCATCAAAATTCTTGATAATTTTTAATTCGTGTATGTACGTAGTCTCAAGTTGTGTCATATTTTTTTAACGAAAAATGTTGCACAATTTTTAGGGTAACCTATGTTGTAACATGCAACATTATTTAGAAGAGTGGGACATAAGCAGGAACATGGAAGGAACACCTTATAAGTATTTTTCATATATTCATTATATTATTGGACATTTTTATTTTCAATGAATTTCACCTTTTTATTTTATGGAATAGGAGGCAAACGAGTAGATGGATCACCTGATGGTAAGCGATCAGCTTCGCCCATGGACACCAAAGGAGTCACAGGTTGCCAGCCATTTAAAAAGGAATAGGCTCTTTTCTAGAAGTTTTTAAAGGTATATATATCGTATCGGTTCGGAAATTCCGCCGACGACAGATCATTCCGCAGTTTTGCTGTTTTGCTGCCCTATTTCATAACAGTTAAATAAATTAGGCACATAGATTAAAGTAATGCAAAGTAAATGCTTAAATGTTGGTCTTATAAAAATCATCGAGGAAACCTGTGTTGCTTAATTCTTTTTTTTTATTATGTTTTTGTTTGTGAATACAACTAAGTATTATCTACTTACTGCACTGAAATTTCTTTTGTCTCATTTAAGCAAAATGTTCAAATAGGTTGCTACAAAAAATATCGTGTGATAGTTTTCAATGTTTATTGTAATCAGTATTGTTTATATTGTTAGGACATATGTTTCATATTTTCTTATACGTTGTCTCTAAATGATGTACTATTTTTGCATATTAAGACATAATTAGGTATTCTGTTTCTGAAGGTACCTACGTAAGTAACTAAGTAATAACATTATTAAAAACCAATCAACAATCATTACTCGTAAAACAAGAGGTTTTTCTACAATAAGAGACTGTTAGCGTGACTACTGATCACGAAGTAACCATAGACAATCTATTAAGGTTCGCATTTAATATTTTCCAAATGGGTTAATCTAGAAAATATTTTTGTAGAGTATAATCTGTGGTTAGCTCCAAAAGAATATAAAATCAGGAGTTTGGAAGGATTTGCAGTGTAACACAAATTAATTTTACCATTACCAATTCACAATTTATCGTACGTATTTTAAGTTTTAAATAACCAAGAAAATTCAGATTCGATTCGAAGTTGTAATTAATTACAATTTAGAATTCGAATATAAAAGTTTATGATAACAGTAACTGTCTATGGGATCCGTATGTTGGGTTATAACTAGTAGACAACACAGTAATATTGTCTGAGATAGACATGTATGAGATATTGGCCTTGATGACATGACTTGACATGATATGATATACATCAAGCTTCCATGTGACTACTACTAAGGAGTGAAATTCTTTGTCAGAGTCGTATTTCCTGAAGTTTTATAACCTGGGTGTCTTCAAGGCCAAGGAGTGAATAGGTTGTTTATGGGACGACGTACTTCATCATCGACCGCATCATCCTTTACTTAGTAGATAGTGGTCAAACGTCGACCCATCAAATATAAAAAAAAGATAATATTTTGAGAGCTACCTCTAAATGTGAGCGGTGTGAAGCTGAGAGGCTCAGACAAGTATAAAAAAAACGTGGTACAATTTAACGTACATGGCAACATTCTATGTTCCTGCACGATCAATGACCTAACAGGTTGTGGCAGTTTTAGAGCAAAAAATGTTACGCAGCTATGAAATTAGTTCGCCGCCCGTTACATGATCTCTGGTGTATGTACCTATGTATCTTAAACATAATTGGCAAATAGGCGTGGACTTTAGAATTTATAATGTAGTTAAAAGTTTAGATAATTTATATAAATTGTAGTCTGTTTTTTTGGCTACAGTGGAAGAATTATTAAATAAGTGGTTAGCATGTACTTAATTTTATTCGTCTTCTTCGGGATTACAGTTTCTTTTTCGTTTTCAAAACCTTACCCCACACTTGGATTTTCTCCTGTGTCGTGGGTGCATTTAAAAACATACAAGTTCACATACACATGACACTCAGACCAGGAACAACGATCTGTGAATCACACAAAGAGTTGTTCCGTGCGGGAATCGAAACCGCGATACGTTGCGCGGTAGCCAGTTGCCCAGCCAACGCACCGAAGGTGTAGTCATTTGTTTCAAGTCACCAAGTTTTGTCATTAATAGGTACACTAGGCTAGGATCAATAGACAACCATAATAAGCAGCTCCAGAGAATTTTGAACCCCAAATTTAAACCTTAATTACTAATGATTCCATAAAACTTTCAAGTAACCAACAGTATGTGTCACATGTACGTACCTAATATTGACACCTACTGTCCATTTCTAGGTGAATAAAACGCGTAATATTACGTAGCTAAAACTAAATGGAAAATTTACGGAACCGCTTCCAATTATGAATATGTACCTACAATATAAACTAAGCTGATAAGCGACTTACTTTGTTGTACGGTTAACTGATAACAATGTTATGAATTTAACTACATAAATTTGTAGGTAGGTACTAATCCGTTACTGCTGATAATCTAGGTTTATGCAGTCGACTACGTCAGTAAAACTACACAAGATTTTCACTTAAACATTCAAGTGTATTTGAAAAATTTCATCTTTCACTTAATTAACTGATTAATAATATAATCATAAATCATTATTATTGATGCATGAAAGGAGTAATTAATGACAACGACACATAGGAAGGTGTCATTCGGCGTTCTGTTGTCTCTTGGTCGCTTCTCTCTACCTCAACGGAAGACAGACGTCGAGATAGCGTATCTTATACAATAGGAAATAATAATTATTATTCCACTAAATACATTTTCATCTAAAGTGTTGCCTAAAATATTATAGCTCACGTGATCAAAAAATCATCAGATCTCATATAGTCTTAAGTGTCTAACCCTATATTGACCCAGCCTTAAATCTATGAGCACTGATTTTAAACTAAAACTGCGTGAAATTCTACAGCTGCAGCTCGTAGCGCGTAGTTCGTAGCGTGTAGTTCGTAGCGCGTAGCCCGTAGCGCGTAGCAGCGTTTTCCAGTTATTTTGCGTTTAATAGTGAGTCAGCTGGACGGAAATTGTTTATAAAATTTAGATCTTAGTCAAACTGCATTATTTTGTCTTTCGTAGGAGTTCACTGAGATTACTAGTGGAAAACCGTTGCTACGCAATACGAATACCAAACTACGAGCTACGGCTGTAGTATTTCGGTGCAACTGAAGTGTAAGATTAATATTGAAACTTCTAGCATAAAAAAAGAAATGCAATACAAACTTTCACTCCTAAGTTTCAGCATTTTTTTGTTATTTATAAGAAGTACTTTAAGCATTTTAATAATACATAGTAAGTAAGTGAATTTGTCAGTGACAAAATTGAAATATTTTAGAGATATCAATGAAATCTAAAGTGTAAGAGAGGTATTTGAAATACATATTTTTAGAACTATCTCACGATATGTTTCTGCTATTATTGTTTTTGTATGATTGTCCACGTAGATATAACGATTTGTATAAAAGAAACATTCTAAACACAAACGGTGACTGAAATAACCAGGAGATGTTTTGAAATGTTTATTTTCTTCAAAAGCCGGGAGACAGTTTGTCAATGTCTGCGACGCATCGAGTTTCCTTTTTTTAATAGTCTTTATTTAGATGTTTAAACGACTTTCTAATGGCCTTACTAAGGAAAGAAAAAGACAAAAATAATAACATTCACTAGTAGGTACTCATCTATTTAACATTTTGATATTTATTACTTCGGTGCTAGATAGGTACATTGTCTAAGAGTATGGTATAGTAGCCAGCTCATCAACCTACTCTCTATGTGTCAATTTGATTTTCGACTTTATATCTAAACAATAGTGTTGAAAATGTAATAAAGAAATTTGATAGAAAAGAGTAGATTGAATTGCTATACCTAAAGGTGTATTGTAGTACAGTGGGCATTGTACGAAAAATGTGTGTGTGTGTGTGTGTGTGTATGTTATAAAAAAAACTAAAAAGTGTAAGTAGGTATTACGTTAATAAAGTAAATGGAACCCTTAATTTAGTTACACCCGCAAAATATTCTTATCTTTTTAGTGTTAGGGTTTTATGCGGACATTTTAAGGCAATACCTATAAGATATCAATACTTATGGAGATTCAAATAAGCGGTGACGACATTTACTTGTGTAAATTTTGTATACAGAGTTTACGATCATTGCTTAAAACACCACACATGTAGGTATACTCAATGTGTAGAAAATGTATTAACTGAAGAATACTAATAATTAGTATTTAAGTATTAAAAACTATGTGAAAATTGTATTTTCTCAATGTTTGTGTTGACTATGTTCATAGATCCATTTCGATATTTAATTATTTTATTTATCACTAGCTGACCCGGCGAACTACGTACCGCCAAAATTATTTTTCTCACCTTTTAAACCTTCCCTTGACTCCCACGAACAATTTAAGACCAAAATTAGCCAAATCGGTTCAGCCGTTCTCGAGTTTTAGCGAGACTAACGAACAGCAATTCATTTTTATTTATATAGATAATAAAAACTTAAACTTCCCTTCTGTAATGATAGCTATAAAGAGAGACCATATATGGTTGTACCCCTACTAACACTTATGTATTACTGTTATCAAAAGCTATTTAAAAACAAAAATCCGATCTATTCTAACATATATGCAACCACGGTAAGTCTTCATGATAAACGCAAAACCCTTGTGGTCTAGATTTGAAACCCCAGTTTCATCAGTTAGGTACTAAAATTAGTCTGGATTCGAGATAGCTAGGTTGAGCTCAACATTATTGATCGAGGCGCGCCTACGTGACTGAAATCTCAAGAGCCAGACGTCCTTATTGTGACCGTACAATCATACTGAACTATCTACATACTCCATTCTATATTATTTTATATTCTAGTTATATTATTGGAATATTATGTCTGGCTATAAAAAACAAACAAGATAACGAGTTTAAACAAAAATAAAAGGCATTAGTTATCGTAGAAATGTTTATAAACTCGTATTTTTACCTCCTTTGACCGTTGATACGTCAGTCGAAATTTAAACAGTTTTTTTTCGATGTTACTTTGTTTGTTAAACGAAATAAGAGGTGCTTTGGGTGCGAATCTTTGACATTAGTGACTACATTCTAAGAGTAGTTTATAATATATAAAAATTAATCCCTTTTTCCTTTGGTCAGCGCATCACGCGTGAATGACTGGACTGATTTCACTAATTCTTTTTTTGATGTATTTGTTATTATTAGGAGAAGGTTCTTAAAACACAAAAAATCCTGAAAATTCTACGGGAACAGGAGAATATAGGATTGCGCGTACGAAGTAGCGGACAGAAGAAGAAGCTAGTTTACTATAAATGTACCAATGTTATGTAGACACTTGTGTTTTTCATGTAATATTGTTTGTGTGGATACATAGAAGCGTAATGACCAATGTAACAATTAGTAATCCTAAACGGTTGGTTAAGCAACACGACTGTTGCTTTTTTCCGTTTTGTAAGAAAAGTGGGCATTCAAGCAGTGTGTAGCATACTAATGAGCTTATTATGTTCATGTAGGTACGTATGCAGTATGCATGATGTGTGTATGTGTAGGTACCTCATTATTTACATACTCAGTTATTGTTACGGATGTGTGCCTACGTGTTCATAGTCAGCCAGTCAATTTGTGAATTTAGAATCAGAAACAGTCAGCTAACGTTAATTTAATAAACATAACAAACGTGACTAACTGGCCATGTTATGATTATGTAAGCACTGCGGCCATTAAATCGACTCGTTCGATTTTTCTACGCCGCAAAATGTATTGTGTAGGTGTGAGCAGATAATGCTCGGGCAAGGCCAGCCACCTCGCGGTCTGCCGGCTCGCTCAAGGTTGTTTTTGTGTATAAACACCGCTCAGGCGATCGATAAATGTACCCGATCAACCGCCAGCGCGCAGCCAGCGGACGACCTCGCACACAACCGATTTTCCGCCTCAATAATAAACAAAGCAAACGACACAAATCAAACCACAGAATAATCTTAAACTATAATTTTTATTTGCCTTAAATTATTACAGTCCTTGAAGTATCTACCTCCGGAAAGATACAGAATCATAATAATCTAACTAGGAATAATAACACAGCAGTTGTGAGCTTTACAACAAGCTCAAATAATAATAAGAGTTGAGATCAGTGGTGGAACGATGTTAGTCCAAGTGTCGGAGCTCGTCGCTCACCGGGGGCGCTGCGCTCTCGCTCTGCACCGTAGCCTGCTAGTGTGGTGCGCCAGGTAGAAGCCCTGCGTCAGCAGGAAACGCCTTGGATGCTCCATTGATCTCTGAGACGAGTAGCGGCCGGAGCTCTCCTCCGGTATCCGCCATAATGTCCTCCTTTCGCTCGGCATCTCGATAATCCGTTTGCAAGCCATAGTCATTAAGTCAATACTCCATCTAATGTTTGTTTGACTTCTTGTTGTTCTCTGTGTTCATCAGCTTGGTGACGATTTTTCTGGAGTGGCCCGAGGGGTCGAAGTGGTTGGTGTGCTCGTTGACCTCCTTCTTAGTGCGCTGCTTGCCGCTGTGTCCAGAGAAGATATGCTTGTCGTGGTCGAAGTTGTAGTAGTCGTACTCGTCAAAGAAGGCTTCGGACATATTTACGTTTGGATATTTGTAAATAATGAAATCACAGGGAATTTTGTCGCAGTGACAACTGACAACGTTACTCAAGATTTTGTTTTCACTGAATGTTGAATCGAATAGCTGCGCGGCTCTTTTATAGGCTGCCAGCAACACGTCACTGACCGCATGCGCGTCGATAAAATTCTCGATTCGTGATTGGTGGAAACACCGGCGACGACCCGGTTATGAAGGATGTTTTGTTTATTTATAGAAGTGTGAATGTGTGAGTAAGCCGGCTCGGCTGGTGATGCCATGCTTAAAAATATATTTTCTACTGAAATATCGATTCATGTATACTTTTCCTCTTCGTTATGGACAAGTTGTGGAATACAGGTTACTGTCGACATAAAATACTAATTACATGACTTTGTAATAGTCTTGGAAATTTCATTACATTTTAATTTTGTAAATGATTAATTTGATAAGAAACATGGGTACAATTTTTAAGGAGTCACCGTATTTGACTGTTAAAATGTGATGTGGCATTGCGTTATTTACCATAATATTAAAACATAATGAGATTTAAGCATATACTTTTCATCAGCTTAAACATGAATACGAAAAGTGAAAAGTTTGATGCCATTTTGTATACAGTGCTTTGATATTAAAATATTTACCAATTTGGTAGATATTTTCCTACCTTTGCAACCCTGAATGCCGGCTCAATGTTATTGTGATTGTACCACGTATGTGTATTGTTATAATATTGACTATTGTGTACACACCTATTAAAAATTAATCGTATTATCATGTAATTCTTATAGGCTATCGGTCAATACTCAACATAGTAGTGATAAGTAATTATTTAGCGACCGCACTCGGAATCTATTTGTAACTGACACATAACGCCATCTAGTATCGAGTAGCGACAATACACTCTAGTTTGCTAGGTAGTTTTCTAGCAAGTTTTCTAAACATACTTGATTGACTAGATAAGACTAGAAAAAATCTTGTTGTTTATGGCTTAAACATTTTATTATTAATTTATTTGCAATGTCAATATGACCACTGAAAAGACATATTTTTATCGAAGTTCTATAATTATCTACATGAAAGTTAGTCTATGTAGGTAGTTTTTGTGATATGATAGTTATAAAGAAAATTCCCCATTTCCATATTCCTTTTATAATAATGTGTATTCGCTTATAATTAAATATTTTTATTAACCTTTAATTTTTCAAAATAATGTCAAATGAATTAAAATTCTTTTCACCTTGGAGTTTATGGAGCCGCGCCAGTAGATATTTAAAATTTAAATTGTGTGGAAAAACACTGGTATTTTATTCTGAAAAATTGCAAGGGATACTTAATTTAAATTACTTAAAAAATAACATTCGTCCTCAAAAGGGCAAGTACCTAATATAATATTGGAATTTTTTGGTGCTCTCTGTAAACAGTTATTTTTAGATTTCTTTTATTTAATTTTTATCTTTTAGTTAAAGTGTATCTTAAGTCGTACTTATTTATTTATTTTTTTCCGATCCTTATGTTTTAAATACATATCTCAGTTCTAATAAAGATCACTAGTATTTATTATTGCGATTTGCTAGACGCGTTGAAGTTCATGAATTATGAATTTGTCATTTGTTAAATCTACTTTACATAAACGTTACGCCTTCTTGTCCCTGAAGGGGTAGACAGACATGCACATCTTACTTACTTTATTACATACATTCTTACTTTATCTATCTATCTATCTATCTATCTAACTATATTGTATAAAAATGAAATCAGTTTCTCGTTGTCACGCCATAACTTGTGAATGGCTAGAGCGATTTAGCTGATCTTTTTTTTTGTTATGTTTGTTGTTAACAGGAGAAGGTTTTTGAGACAAAAAATATCCTGAAAATACCACTGGAACGGGAGAAAACGGGGTTACGCGTACGAAGTCGCGGGCAGAAGCTAGTTAATATTATAAATGCAACAGCTTGTGTGTATGTTTGTTACTCAATCACGTGAAATTTGTGGCAGGGATAGATTAAGATCTAAATAACATAACAATTTTATTTTACGGAAACATGAGCAAAGTCGCTGGCAGAAGCTAGTACGCAATCTATGAATGTCAACCTTTGTAACCACTGTCTCACAATAAAGATCTTTGACTTTGACTTTGAATTTGAATGAATTTACTTTTGAATCCCATGTACAACTTGTTGAGCTGAACCTAAAGCATTTTACATTTTAGTTTTAATTAAGAATCCTGAAACGTTATCAGTATTCTTATATGATCAAGATTTCATTTATGTTGCGGAACTTGCGTACCTACCTATTAGTCTTAGACCATGATAACACTGATGCACACGTACACATTTGCGTGTATTGCGAAATCGTTAAAAAGAAATGCGATTCAATTTAACTGATACATATTTGCATTATAATATACGTTTATCACATCATAAAGTACTGTTTTGTTGATTAATCCATAAACAAGGAAAGGGATATTAACTGGCAAGGTGTATAAGCACGTACCTGCCAATCTGTGAACACTGAGGAGCATCTGTGCAAACAGCAGCTTTCTGGAACACATGGAGACGGGAAGCCGAGGGTTTGAGAGGTGCAACTGGATCCGGAGGCTCCGCCGCCCTCCGCGATGCATAGTCTGCACTCCCGATGAGGTATCCACTTAATGCTGATATGAAGACTAGGACTGCTAACGCTGCGAGTACTATTTTCGTCTTGAGCTTATATGGCCTAAAACAAAAAGTAAGTTTATAGTACTGCCATCTGTTATCGAATAGCAGCAACCACTTATCACTAGAAAACTCTTCGGATTTTTTGTAAATAATGAGGGTAATAGGAGGCAATGCTACTTCTGTATCAGGTATAAGTTAAAAAAAATGTTTTTGTTTCATTCATCACTACAATATTACTCACTTCTCGGGGTAATCATCGTCATCATGACTAAAGTTGCCTTGGAATATGGCAAATCTATTGATAGGGGACACTAAGCGTATCGTGTCTATAGGGCTGTCGTCACCATGGCTGCTTATAAAGTTCCTCCTGTGCAGACCACTACGTAAGGGATGCTTCATCGTGTTTGCAACACTGTTTTAATTGTGACAGGTCGACTTCTGTTCAGCGGCACATAACAACATAACCTAGACACTTCTGATGAGATTTTCACCACAAAACATGATGTAGGAACATAGAAATTAAGAAAGTTTCAACTCGCTTGTGTATTTTATTGATATTTTGGTGCGTAACACGGGTATTATGAACTGTTTGACCGTCAAAGTGACGTATCTGCGAGATGGCAGGTGATTACACAGTGAACTTGCTTGCGGGTATCGTGAAAATCGATAAAGCGAACAGCTGTTTTCAGTTCTTTCAGCCTTCGACACGTTAATTTAAAACAAAGATAGATGGCGATACAGTAGCGGTTATAAAATTTATGTTTTTCTATTAGTTTTTTTTTATGGAAATCTATTAAAAACTATTACTAGAACGCCTGATTATTATACTGTTGTAGATAGACACTACTAATAAGTGCTGCTTGAAAACTATCTGCGCAGAATATATCATCAGGCGCTTCCTGTTAAGTACCAGTTTATTTTCTTAGTGACTATTTACCTGACACATATTTAATAATGACTACAGGAAATATGATTAACAGAATTAAGATAGTCTTACTTTTGCAGGTAAGTAGAATTTTATTGCACATTACAATTAATTTATGTAGATAATGTTAGTTCAGCGAAGAAAGTTTCGAATTTATGCGGCAACATTCAGTACTATAAAATAGAATGTAGAACATTAGTAGTCTTATGTTTTTTTATTGTCTGTTACCTGTCAGGATCGGAGTCAGGCAGCCTGATGAGTACATGTTGTTTTTTCCTCCTGACGTTTGGTTTTCCCGGCTTTTTCAAAGAACTTTGTCTTAATAGCAGCTTGTCCGACATTTTACTTATAATTTAAAAAATACACTGTCCTTTAAATAGTCCAGTAAATGATTTTAATTGTCTATTATTATGTGAAAAGTGTCATTGAGCTAATCAAGAGATGTGATTAATTACATAATGTGTTGAACGATTGCCAATTGTCGAAGTAAGATATAGTATAGAGATTACCTATGGACAATATTATGTACATGAATTACGTGCATGTTTATACATTTGTAATACATTGCCTTATAATTAAGTGTATGTTAAAGGTACTTTAATTTCAAAATGCCATTTTTATTTAACCAATAACAAGTTACTAGAACGTTTTCTTTTATTTTTCGCGCTTTACTCAATGTCTCTGATTTATAAGTAATTGCACCATGTTAAGCAGAAAAGATTCAGCCCACATTTTATAACTTTGGAGCAAATGAAGTTATAAGTTGGGCAGATAATATAAAAGTCATATGACATAGTACCTATTGAATACTTAGGTACTGTCTCATATGATTACTTTCATTTATAATAAAATGTGGGCTGGATCTTTTTTTCTTAACCGGGCCCAATTGTGACTGTGTACCGCTTTTTGGAGTGCAATTTCTATATTTTTACATTACAATTGAAAATTTTAATGTTCTGCATTTTAACCTATACCTAATACTAATTATTAAAAAAGTCATTTACCCAGTGTAAATCATAGATTAATATCGGGATTATTACTTTTGTTCTAAACCGGAAGGTGTCTGCCCTTTGTTATTAAGATAATATATTTTGTTATTCATATTATTATTGTGTCATATTTGTATGACGCATTATTCTTTATGACAGTGTATGATGTTATAGTGACTTTTTTCATAAAACCATTGATATATTTTTTATTAACAATGGGCGTTCTGTCACATGATTTAAATATTTTGAGCAGACATTGTCAGTATTGTTGTTATTGTTGTATATTAAGATAACTAGACTACCTTTTTAGTAGAGTGGTCGAAAATCTAATTGGCGAGCAACCAGGGTTAGGTTTGATTTCTATAACATACTACTAAAAACTAAAAAAGAGTATAGTGTGTACCTGTACACACTATACTCTTTTTAGTTTTTTTTAAGGGGAGAAATTCATCGAATACCCGCTTGGGTGAGACGGGAGGAAGTGTCAGACTCTTACTAATTAAAAGCCACCCCGTCCCTACTCCTGCCCTTTGAGCCGGAGCCCCGGAATCCCGTTAAGTTCTTCGCTGCTCCGTATCGGCATCAGCCCTATTGGGCCCCATCCGTGGTGGTCTAATGGCTTTTTGAGGCGCGCGCGGAACGCGATGCGCCGTATGCTCGGGTCTACTTGTATGTGTACATAGTTATTTTACCTATTTCAAATAATATCCTTCTTACTTATATGTATCGTGTTTGTCTTGATTGTGACAATTATGGCGTGCCAACGTGCTAATGTAATGACAGTGAGGCGATAATGCCAATGTCAAGGATCAAACCTTAGGAAAAAATTGTATGAAAATTACCACACTTAAATAGTGATTAACATGTCAGGATATACTTACATATATATCGATATAAGTATTTGTTAAAACTCATACTACGTAGGTACTACACGTAGCATACAGAACCGTTCAGGACATTTCAAAAATTTGCAGAGGCCACGTGCACGGTCATCCGAGAGCCAGTTGTTACGACTTGGCGAGCTGAACAATGATTTACGTATAAAATATTCATGTGCAAAAATCATCCACAAGCACAATTTCAACGTATGTACTTAATTGTGGAATCACAGAGAGCGCCTTCTTATAGTATAAGGAGCAGACAGATCACCTGATGGTAAGCAAAAGAACCATGGCAACATCAGAAGACACACACGTGCGTTGTCGGCCAAACGGCAGTAGACCTGGGAGATACAAGGGCTAGAGATGCCCGGATATTTCACCTTACTACGATTGCAAAGATAATTTTAACAGCTTATATTACAATCCATCCACATTTCCAATATTTGATTGATAGAAATATTTACAAATCACTTTTAGTTGAAGAGCTAGATAAAGCTGAGAGGTTTCGAGATACTGTGATTCATTTGTTTTGATTGTTACAGTTGAGAAGTAAACAGCATTTACATGTGAAATTCAAACTGATTGTCAAGGTCACCATGTTTGTCACGGTGAAGTACTTACATAGAAGTAGTTTCTCGAGGCTCGATAAAAACATCGGTCGAACCTTTTCTATGAGTACAAGTTGTTTGGCAAGTTTTTTTATTGTTAGCTACTATTTTGCTTGGTAGTAACAGATCATGGAGCTACCAAGTAACACACATAACCACCTATTTAATATCTTCTACGGAGACAACGTTTAAACAAACATATATTTGACATATTTGCATTTAAATATTGACATTGTACCTGAAAATCTATCTGGTGTAGCTAATCATGATTACCTAAACATATTGGCCGTGCCAATGCCAATGAGATTTACGTGATTGACTTGAATGATTAGCGTAAATAAGAATTTCCAGGACGATTTCGTTCACAGCTATAATAATTCAGTATTTTTTTTAACGAATAATTAAAGAAATAAATATGTACCTAACTGGGAAAGTTAGTATAAATTATAGACATTGTACTTCGATAACAAAGCCTGCGTAATCTATTCGTTGCGCTTGACAAGTTATTTAAAAATGTCGTAACTGTCACCTAGGTATCACCTAGGTATTAATTGCAATATTTAAACACTAGACAGATAAAGGCAAACACCTTTCTCATACACGTTCCGTAATACCTGACAGCTGATAGCTGACAACTGGTTTTTGAAAATATTTTGAAATCGGGACTGATTTGTTCGTCTAGCCTCTACACTAGTCGCGGAGAACCTAACGGGTAACCGGGGCTCCGGTTCGACGTGCAGGAGAAGGAACGGGGTGGGTTTTAGTCAGTAAGAGTCTGACACTCCCTTCCGCCTCACCCACACGGGAGAAGTCATTCGATGAATTTCCCCCTTAAAAAAAGCCTCTACACTATCTATTACTTAGTCATTATCGTGGCAGATATTATTGAAGCAACAGACAACCTATTAAGTATCTATGTATAGTATTATGGATATACTATACGAGGTACGAGGTACGGCTAAAATTAGGACGTATAAATTTGATTTATTTTATTATATTAATTGGATTAATTTATATTAATCGTTAGAATTATATTAGAAATTTATCTTCAAACGATAATTTAAACAAATGATGAAATTAAGTATTGTGTTATACTTAATTTCATCATTTAAACGGAATACCGAGTAAAGTAATGATACATTATCATTAAAAATTCATCGGCGCCTAGGGGAGTCTAGAATAATTTGTGATAATTTATAGAAATCGTTAATTAGTTTTATCGGACCACGTAAATAATTGTATTGTCGAATCATCCGATTATTAACGATTTCAATTAAAGATTACATTACTGACTCATGTTGTCATTCCGACACTTTCACAAATGCGATTTTTATTGTAGGTAAGTAGGCACTTACAGCTTTATGCGAAAATATTTATAAATAAAACGTAACAAAATTCCTAGATATGCTAAAAATAGACCTTATTTAATTTTTGACATGAATTTTCTTTGTTCAAGAATTTAAAAATGTAGTAAAGATTTTTTACAATGGGAATAGTTCGAACTGACGCACGTACCTAAGGACCTCATTCTCAAAAGTTAACTTCCGACTATACTAAACCGCAAATCATAAGCACTACATTATACTCATTAATTAGTTCCTCGAGTGTATTACCCAAAGACCTTGAGTTTAGCTCTTGACATTATCAGTGTGGAAATGAATAATGATAACCGTTATCAGGCAATTAATCATTTGACTCCTCGGTCGGGTAAAACGGAAAGATAATGAATTAGAAAAAAGTAAAGTCATGCTTTTGTAAAACAGCTGCAGTTTTCGAAGAGAGGCATAACCTCAGATAGGTTTGTGATGCTTATTCTTCACAAGGTTACATTTCATTGTTGGCTACTTTGACTGGGCCCCGTAGTAAGGGCTTGAGAAAAAGATACAGTTAAAGTGGGGCTTGTACAAGTTATGGTTCACTATTGGTCACGATTGGTCAGTCCCATTGTGAGATTTCCTGAGTCACAGTTAATATAATTACATAATTAAAGTTAAAGGTGCATTAGGCTATACATTTTCAGTTTCAGTGTTTTTGTAAGAAACTAAGAACAACAGTAACATTTTCCAGGAACCTATCAAAATTTTCCACGTCACGATCAAAAGGAGCGTCTGATTGATTCGATACGTGGCAGTGAAAGATAATATCTAGATCTTTTTGATATTAATAAAATATTATAATGCACTATATTTATAAATAATTCTAGTAATATCAGTTCTAGTAATAACGTTTTCCGTTACGTAATTACCGCAAATACCTAGTTTCTGAAAACCCCAAAAAGTAAATTGCTTTTGAGAATCGACGTAGATATAGACATTAAATACTTTACAGTTAAATTAGTCTTGTATACATAAACAGAAGTATCATAGAGGAAAAATCGAGTTGAACGACACAGTAAAACTTTGACGATATCGAGAATCGAATGATGAACTGAAGTTTGATCCTTCATAGCCCTGATGAACAAGACTCAGTTCGTAAAAAGAAATCTCATGACCGTTCATCCTAGAAAAGATAAATATAAATGGCAACAATAGTTCGCAATAGTTCCTTATTGCATCTAGTTAAATTGAAATATGGAAGGAAGACGTTGATCTCCATCTCCTGCTGTTTACTACCTCAATTGAACCATTTCTCATGGGACAAACAAATTGGGATATTTCCTCAGTCAAAAATAATTGCTTCTGTTAATAAATCTGTTATTCAAAATGATTATTAGGTACTGTTAATTTTCACCTACCTCTCTTAATAAATTTTAACCTTTCGTGTGTAATCCACACGAGACACAATATATTTTCTATTATGACTCATATCGGTGCATTCAACTGGTTAAGAGAGGAACCCCTAATGTGAGGTAAGTGACAACGACATTTTGGCTTCACCAACTTATAAGTGACACAAGTAGTACAAGTAAGGGGTTAGTTTAGGTGCGTGCGTTAGGGATCACGCTAAGTAACTGTCTCTGTCTTTTATTTATTATCCATAAAATACAATATATTCATATAAAGTGTATTAATATACTCGTGTCTTTTATTTTCTATGATGTTAACAATAAAGCAGAAAATCGCGAGTACCGTATCTAAACGCTCCGCTGTCAAAGTGGTAATGGATGCTAGAGGTGGTTGGTTAGTAATTCAACTCATTGGGTCACCCTGGGTGGTTCTTCCTTCGGTTTATTGTATGTCCTTATCATAAATTGATGTCAAAGTGTAATGGGGCTAACGTTTATTTCTGCACCTGGCAGAAATATAGGAAAGGGCCTTTTTATCCAATTACAGCAGCTGTCAACGTCCACTGGTGTGAGGCTAGCTAATTCCCTATTGGAAAAATGACGAGAGGTTCTCACTAGTGCCATTTGGTGAACAAAAATAGAGCCGCGGAAGGTCTAACAGTTTGCCGGGGCTCCAGCTCGAAGATCTTTAGTAGGAACAGGGTGGTTTATAGTCAGTAGGAGTTTGGACTCCCACTCGCCTCACCCGGGCGGGAGAAGCCATCGGATGATTTTCCCCCTCAAAAGAAAAAAAGCCCCAATATATTGTAACATACACTTTAACTTGTACTCATTTCGTTGATTAACCGATTTAATCTTTTCGAGAAATAATTACTTTTTTTTGAGCGGGTGACCACAAGGGCGACTACCTTTAAACATGGTTTTGAGTTTCGATACGCAGAATTTTGAACATTGACTACAAGGAAAGCACTGGTAATCGAGTTATAATAAGTAGAGGTTACTTGTTAAAAAATGAAAAATATGTAAGTACATACATATTATTATAACATACCTAGTAAAGCATATTTCTTTTTATGATCAAAGAGGGAAAAATCTCGTGGTTTTTTACTAAATATGAGTGAGACGAATCTATCGAGATTTGTTTTTAAAATTATTTATAAAAACGTTCTATGCTATTCTTATTACTAATCAGTCGTCACATAAAAGTAATTAGACATGGATTACTGTTACATCTTTATAATAAGATTTCTTAATATATTATACCGTTTCAAAACTAAAAGACCAATCATAAAACTTTTTAAAAAGTATTTGTTTTTAAAATTGGCAATCGTCACACAAAAAAATAACACTTCACTATCAAAATAATTCTGAACACAGATTATAAAACACTCTTTTCTCACTTTAAAATCCCCAAAAAACTATAAGCGTTCTTTTTTTAAATATAAAACTTTTTTCGCGGTTTTTTTAAACGATTTGATACGACGTATCGTACCTGTGCCCTGTCCAATACTGGCCGTAATACAGTAACGTTACACATTTTGAATTGCGAACCGCGAAGGATTGCTGTCACTATGCAGTTGAATGACAGAAGACCAAATTATGGTGACGCTAACATGACGCGATGCTTGATAAATATGAATGAGTGGTTGCTATTTGAAGTTAGTTTTGGTTAAATATGGTCACTGCATTGTAAAGTTGCCCAGCTTATTCAGGAACTTTACTCCATCAGTAATTTACAATGCAGTACAGAATATTGATACTCAGACTAATTGGGTATAAACCAGCTAAGTGCTGGCGACCAATAAGTTCAGAAAGACCAAATAAACTTTGAACTGCCTAATTGACCGAGTGGTCGCAAGTGCAACTCCCGAGCAAGGGGTCTCGGGTTCAATTCCCGGGTCGGACAAAGCATTACTGGGTTTTAAAAAAATCTCAGTAGTAGCAGTGCCGGTATATGACAATAGGCTCATTCCCTAGTACATGGGACTCATAACATAAATAGTGAAAAGTGGGTGTAACATTGTACAGTGGCATAATGTAGGTCACCTTTAAACACCTTTGCCTACCCGTTCGGGGATAAAAGGCATGATGTTATGTAGACCAAACAAAATAAAAAACTTTTATTTCTCAAGCCGCTAAATATTTACTGAATTGAAATGAACCTTCTTTTATTATACTTTCATGTGTACTCTTTTACGTGGTTTACCTGCGTCTCGTTTTGAAGTAGTTACCGATACGTCATCATGTCGTAAGAAATATGACGCGGCTGGTAATAACTGCAATAATTAATCCCATAAACAATTTCAATTACTAAAATCACCTTCGTTAACCTTTCATTAAAACAGCAAATCGTAACCTCGTAATACTTGAAGAAAGTAATAATAAATTCTGAAAATTAATCACAAATAAGGTAACGTGACCTTGACATTGAAATCAGTAGGTAATTGTACAAAAATATGCAATAAAAAGTAAATATGTAGCAAAATTATTTAAAAATGGAATTCACATTACGAATGAACATTTTCACTCACAGTTTTAAATTAAGTAACTACAAAGAGGTTTGTTATAATCTTCTTACTTCTATTCTGCATCTACATCCTCTGCGAAGGATAGCCAAAAGTATATTATGTAGTAGTGAGAATTGAAGCAATAAATTGGTAGATACCTACGTTTTAAACATTTTCCGTAAGTAATAATTAAGAATTAATATAAAACCGACGCACCCATCCTTCCACTTCTGAGCATTTTTCTTAAATAGGTCCTATCACATACCTACATTCTCAACTAGGAGACCATTACTTGCAATTATTTAAATGCGTCATCGAGGTCGTTTTCAACGCGGATAATTGATTATACGCAGCGAAGAAAAAAAGTAATGTATGATGTAAGAATTGAGGATATTTTGTTAGGTTAGATTATTTATTTACTTATTTACTTAGATACATATAATATGCTCAAGGTAGTGTTAAATTCTAGTTATTGTAAAACATAAGAATTTGGTAAAAAAATTGCAGTCATCCATCCTTAATATTCGATGACACATTATAGCTAAAGCATATTAGTGTTCTGCTTGTCGTTTAGTACCAACATTGCAAACTGGTTTCTTGCAGATCAATCATTACTAGGGTTGCCACCCGTACTTTATAATAAAGTATTGTACGTTATTTAAGGTAATTGTACTCTATACTTTATAAGAAGAATAAAGTACACGAAAATAATTTATTTTTGCAAACTTCATTTCTATTAAAGTCGTAAGTATTTTTCGGTAAACTTATCGATTCGATATTGATATTTATCGATTTATGTTGAATCGATAATTCGCCAGCGCCACTTAGACAATTTCTAGTAAAGATGCAATTGTTTAGTATTTCAATTCAATTGTTTAGTAAAGGTACTAATTTAATACAAACTGCAAAAAGCAATAAAAAATATATTTTTAAATATAATACTAAATAAGAATAAATTGTACTTTATTTTTGTACTGTGTACTTTTTTTTCTTATCTATAATCGTCAATGTACTTTACATACGAAAGAAAAAGGTGGCAACCCTAATCATTACCTACGATGATTTTTATAGTTTTTCCTGTTGGTAGATTTTAATAGGAAGAATGATAAATATTCTCACATGCATCATCGCTTTAGTAAAGATTGGCAACAATGTCTTCTTTATTTAAATGCTGGTAAACTTTCGAACATTTTTGAAGTAAACCAATTTTTCGCGCTATTCTGGATAAGTTTCTACTTTTTCTCAAAAAAAAAACATGTCCAATTATTGAAAAGTGGTAACAGTCGTATAAAAATTCGTATGTATCGCTGCATATTATGGAAGTACTGTCAAATTATTAAAGAATAATGTAGAAGGGCACTTGAATTGTCCGAAGTAGAATTGCTGACAATTTATCTGTTTTGCAAGGTCCGATCACGGGTCTATGTAAAAAATCTAGTATAATCACGTGAAAGTAGTGACTTGTCATCGATTGCGGAAATTGTTAATTTATAAATAATTTTGTTTTTATCTATGCGTTTCGTGTCTCAAGGACAAATTAGTGCTGTTTACTTACATTGGCATTTTGTTTACTGGTAATTAAAATAAAATATGTACAAAATTTGGAAGCTCATATAAATCTAGTGTGCTATTAGTCTTTTGTTAAAAGTTATGGTGGAGCAAATAGGTGTAATTATTAACACATTAGCTGTAACATACAACTGGAGTTAACAAAATATGTCAACATTTTAATTTCAAAGGAGATTATGTTGTACGTACTTTATATTTATTGTTTATTCTCTAAGGCAAAGGTAGTTAATAGGTAAATGTAAGTAATAAGTATCATTATAGTACGAGAGATGACGACCAAAACCATGTCTCATAGCAATACGGCAAAAACCCTATAAAATCGTTAGATTGGTCGAAAGTGTTTGGTCGTCATCTCTCTAACTATTATGCATGACACAAATACACAGCGGAAAAATAAATTACTTTTGTACATTATGCCTTTACTTTTTTCTCAAGTAAGCATAATTTAAATTTAATTAGAATTAATCATGAACTGATGTATAATCATTACGTTGCATTTATTTATACTCTAGGATTCCTATACATTTTCTGTTTTCGTTTCCTGGTACTTTTTGCCTTCTTTCTTAAGGAAAACGATGACTTCCTGACTATCAGTAGTATCCATACTGTTGATTGTTAGGATATAAGATATCTACCTACTTAGACTTATATGAAATACTCTTGAGAAGATGATAACAAAATACCGAATACCTTAAGGCTTGTCGAAATCAACATGAGATTTATTTTCTAAGTTCTGTCTCCATTCGAAACTGCACTTTGGAACGAGCACCCACCTTCGCTTTGATAATTCAATTTGACGTTTTAAAAGTGCATATATAAGGATTAATTGAAATAAATATTTTGACTTTGATATTGGCTTTACTTTTTCGGAAACTATCCAGTTTCTGAAATGTGTTACAAATGTCGTAATGAGGTTTTTTAAGGGTGGAAAATAATCGAATGGCTGCTCCCGCCTGGGCGAGGCGGGAGGGAGTGTCAGACTTTTACTGACTAAAAACCACCCCGTTCCTTCTTCTGCACTTCGAGCCAGAGCCCCGGTTACCCTTTAGGTTCTGTCGTAATGGGGTTTGTTATCAATTTATTGATAAAAGTAGTAAGATGGATACATTGTATGCAAATACTATGAAAAAAATATATACGTTGGTAGTAGAATGGACATCTAGATATAGGTTGAATAGAAAATATGAGACATTGTTTTGATCCTCAACCAATTTGGATAGACAGTAAAGAATAATAATAATTACTTTGGTAAATATCTGATCAAACAATGTATAGACACAATGTACTTTTAAGATATTCCAATAATAGATAGCCATGTTTATTCAGCGAGTTTGTCTCGTTTTCAAGTTTTTCTAGAAAACTATGTTGCTATGTAATATAATACAAATGTAATAATATACAAAAAAATGTAGTAGATATACGAATATTTTGTCATAAACTTAAATACACACGGAATATCTTATCTTGTAACTATGTTGTCTTTGTGATATGTAGGAGGCTGTAGGCCGTAAATAGATGATTGTGTTTTTAAATTATTTACATAAAAAATATGTTTCTTGTGTTCGCAACGGGGTATCCCAGAGATTGTTGGGCACATAAGCCTGGATATTGTTTTAGGTTGCAAATTTTCTTTCACCGCAAATTAAATAAACTTTTTTTAAGGAGGGAAAATCATCGAATGACTGCTCCCGCCTGAGCGAGGCGGGAGGGAGTGTCAGACTCTTACTGACTAAAACCCACGCCGTTCCTTCTCCTGCACGTCGAGCCGGAGCCCCGGTTACCCGTTAGGTTCTCCGCGACAATTTAAATACACTTGGAAGCTACGAAACGGAGCCAAAAAGCGTATTTTTCTTTTTCATTACTTGATAAATATTTTCTGGTACATGTATTTTATTACTAAATAATGTATGTCGTATTGAAGCCAATTTAGGTAACTTTAAAATAAGAGCATTTTGTTGTAGAAGGAATATTTTCTTATTAAATTATAGAGGTTTCGGTAAAACGAAAAAAATAAAAAACATTGGTGGTTTCATTTCTTGCTTCAAAATATTACTAAACAAAGAAGAATATTGTTGACCATTTGAAGAGCTTTTTTATGGAATACAAGGCAAACGAGTAGACGGATCACCTGATGGTAAGCGATCAGCGCTCATGGACACGCAACACCAGAGGAGTCAGAAGTGTAATGTCGACCTTTTCGAAGAAGACGATGAAGATGATAATTATGTGCCCTATTTTTTTTAACTTTGTAGTAGCTGGTCACATCTGCCGCAAGTCAGATAAGCGGTGGGCAAACTCACTACTGAGTGGAGCCGCCGTGGTGGCGCACTCAACGTCAATAGATAGACGTCGCGGTAGGCCCAGAAGGAGATGGCGGGATGAACTTGACGCCTATGAAGAGACGAGTGGAAGGAGGGTTG